CCCCCCCCCCCCCCCCCCCCCTTTTTTTTTTTTTGTTTAATTCCTCCATTCCATTCTCCTCGCGCTTCCTCTCCTCTTTCCTTGTCCATCCACATTTCCACACCTCCCACTCCAGGGACCCTGAAGATTCCGTTAACTACTCGTGCTAGAAGAGGAGAGCTGATCAGGGTGCCCATGGACGGACGCCGGCGACAGAGAGAGACCTACTCCGAAGCCATGGTCCGTGAGAACGAACTCGAAGGCTTCCTTCTCATGTGCATCCCGCAGATCCACTCTCAGCTGCGCACGCCGGCGGGCGCGACGCGCGAGGAGGCGGAGCTGAGGCGGGCGCGGTTGCTCGAGCTGGTTCGCGAGTTCGAGAAGGAGGTGGACGAGGTGCAGCGGCCTGGCGGCAGACTGATCGAGCAGGAGGTGCACTGCGGGGAGCGGTACGGGTACCTCTTCATGGTCATCGAGGGTGTGCGGCAGGTGTACTTTATCCAACAATAGGGTGAATGGGCTTTTGTTGGCTGGCTGAGCTGAGGTATCGATGGCGAGGGTTGCATACTTGCCTCTACCTTCCATATACCTAGGGTACGGTATTCGCTGAGACTGGTCTGAAAAGGCCAGTATCTTTCGCGATCCGCTGTGCCATTCCACACAAACAACGATCAATTTATTCGAGACAATTTCTGAGTGTGACCAGCATTGTGATATGGAAATTGGGGTTTTCATCCAAATGTGAATGTCAACCCCCAGATCGACAGCAACCGCTCCGACAGCAGAAGTGCCCCACCATTGGTATCTACTTATTCAACTTTCTTGGATTCCACCCTTGAATTGTTCGCCTATTGCAACTGCCATAGTAACCCTCGGCATCATCCTCATCAACTAGGCCCTAGTTCTGGGCGGCGGCCTCGCGGACCATGCCGCGAAGGGCAAGGGCGATCGAGGGCCATTCGTTAGGCTGCCTCCGGTGCCAGATGGAGTAAGCAGCATCTGAAAGCATGTTAGCATAGTTCTTCATGATTCTTACAGGCGAATCCATGCCGAGAAGGTCTTGGGCGTTCGTGTCCCGACGATAGTGCTCACGCCAGCGCGTGAGATCTCCCATCAAGAGGCTGTTGTTGTTTTTGCATTTGCCGATAAGCTTGTTGAGCATGGCCTAGTCCTGAGAGTTATCTGATGTCATCAACGGCTGAGCAAGTCAAGACCAGAAGGAATATTTTTACGGGCACGATGCTCCCATCTGGGCCGAGATGTATGAGATGGTTTTCCACTTATTTCCAGACGGGACCATTCACCGTCCGTGATTCGATGGAAGAGGTCATGCTCCACTTACCAGCTGGCGTAAGGCACGAACGAACGGGCGGATGTTGTCTAGTGAGATGCTGCTCACCGTCTTGCCGCGATTCTCAGCGATGTTGCATAGGCGGCCCGCCTCGCAAGCGTAGTTTTGGATCTTCCGATGGAGACTTTCGCGTTCACCCTCGAGCCACCTGCAGCGTCCTAGTTGGTTGTCTGGAAGCTCATGAGACTTGTCGGCTGCGTCTTTGCGGGCGGTGGCGCCGTTGCGGGCGGCAATGTTGGGCGGCGGACGCGGCCTGGAAGATCCAGGGCAGCCACCGTCGCCAGGATGAGGGCTTTGCAGGCTCATCTTTGCAGCGGTTTTCCTGGGGATAAGAGTATGGAAAGAATGTGAAAAGTAGGAGCGGTGCTGGGCACAGGCGGCGTTTCATGTCTAGCGACCAGCGCGCCTTCCCTTTTTGGCACCCACGGCGCGTATGAGCCTTCCCAAACACTTCACAAGACATCGCACCTCCTGCGCTCTCCGCTCAGATCTTCTTGTTCCACCACATCAAAGAGTTCACCTCGCTTTCTCTAATTCAGTATTGGTCTTTCACTATGGGTAACAAAACCAGCTCTGTTAGCCCTGTCAAGGGCGCCAACATTACCATCTCTATCAACACCACCAGCGCCGTTAACATTACCAATCGCGTGTACATCAACAATTCCGTCGAGGACACCAGCTCCGTTAATGACACCAAGGACGCCAAGGACGCCAGCTCCATCGTGAACACCAGCCCCCCCAAAGACACCAGCTCAGCCAAGGACACCAGCTCCGCCAAGGACACCAGCTCCATCGAGAACACCAGCCCCCCCAAAGACACCAGCTTCCCCAAGGACACCAGCCCCCCCAAAAACACCAGCTTCCCCAAGGACACCAGCCCCCCCAAAGACACCAGCTCCATCGTGAACACCAGCCCCCCCAAAGACACCAGCTTCCCCAAAGACACCAGCTTCCCCAAGGACACCAGTTCAGCCAAGGACACCAGCTCCTCCAAGGACATCAGCTCCGCCGAGGACACCAGCTCAGCCAAGGACACCAGCTTCCCCAAGGACACCAGCTCCTCCAAAGACACAAGTTCCCCCAAAGACACCAGCTCCACCGAGGACACCAGCTCCCCCAAAGACACTAGCTCCCCTAAAAACACCGGCTTCCCTAAGGATACCAGCTCCATCGTAAACACCAGCTCCCACAAAGACGCCAGCTCCGCCAAGGACATCAGCTCAGCCGAGGACACCGGCTCAGCCAAAGACACCAGCTCCCACAAAGACACCGGCTCAGCCAAAGACACCAGCTCCCACAAAGACACCGGCTCAGCCAAAGACACCAGCTCCCACAAAGACACCAGCTCCCCCAAAGATACCAGCTCCGCCAAGGACACCAGCTCAGCCAAGGACACCAGCTCCGCCAAGGACATCAGCTCCGCCAAAGACACAAGCTTGATAAATGACACTAGCTACATCGAGGATACCAGTCGCGACAACAGAACCAACGGCTCCAACGCCGCCAACAATACAGACAAGGACCTGCCCGTGTATGGACCATTTCTGCCAACCGGGAAGAAGCGAAAGTTGATCTTGCGTGACCCCACATGCCCCAAGCACGGCGACGTAGAGGCAGCACGGAGGGCCAAGGAAGAATCAGTGCGTCTTTGTTATGTCGGAACCCCTCTAACCAGTCCAGGTATACAGACTGAGCATGCTCCTATAGAGACCGAGCGCGTTTCTAACGAGGAAGCGCGTAATCTTATCGAAGCTGAGCGTTCTCCTGTCGAAGTTGAGCGTTTTACTGTCGTGATAGTACATGATCCTACCAATCCGTACGACTCATGGACCAGTCTCCCTTCCTTAGGTGGCGCTGCCGATACTTATTTAATGGTTCCCGTAAACGTGTCGACCCTTGAATACTTCGGGATAGCAATAAGCCGGATGGAAGCCGAAATCAAGACGTACGAGGCCAAGGCAGATCATGAGTATAAGGCCGATCCTAAGGCGTATGAGGCCAAACTTGAAGCGTATAAGGCTTGCGTTGAGACATATATGGCCTACGTTAAGCTGCTCCTCGCATTCAAAGCCGAAGCTGAGATGCCTAAAACCGACTCTGAGATTTTTAAGGCGAGCGCGGAGGCGTATGGTACCTTCTGCCGCGCGTTCGAGGCCTTCGCTGATTTACGAAACCTCTACATGGGGTTGTCTAATGGAAGTTTCGAGGAGAGATCGGCCCAGGCCAAAGTTCAGGCCGAGAAGTTTGAGTCGACCTTCACTGAGTGGTCTCAGGTCTATGCCGAGGCGCAAAAGATCATTCAAAGGGCACTATACCTCCGCGATGGAGCCGGCAACGATGGAGCCGGAAATGATGGAGCCCGTGATGACAGACCGCAGAAGACAAGGAAGGAGAGGCGGGAGGAGCAGAAGGCGCAGCAGAAGCAGAACAAGAAGGACATGAAGAACATGAGGAAGGCGGAGGAGCAGAAGGCGCAGCAGAAGCAAGACAAGGAGGACATGGAGAACATGAGGAAGGCATTGTAAGTTCTGACTACGGCACAATCCCCGTCCTCGTCTCAAAGTAGGCCATTGTCTCCTAACCCATAGAATAGGAATCGCAACAACTAAAATGAGCGCTACACGACACAATTGTCTATTTCGCGGATGGAGAGTAGCATACGTTCTGGATTGGACGGCAAACCATGAAGTTGGGTCAGCAACATGGCAAGTGTCTCAGCAGCAAGGGGCTCAAGGGACCGGGGAATATCAACATGGTCGCCTCCGTCGAATACATGAGTACGGATGTTTGCTTCGACTCTAGATGTCCGATGGTAGTGATAATGCATTGTTTCTGAAAACCGTCCTCGTAGCAGAGCATCTTGGCCACCGCACTGCAAATCCATACACGCACCAACCCCAAACGCCTCGTCATGCGAATCCCATTTTTGATATCTCCCTCTATCAACCAAACTGATCATCCCACTCCTCCTCGTCGTCATCTGGCGGAGGCGGGGTCTTCTTCTTTAGAAGGGCCTTCCGATCAAGTGGGCACGTGCTGTTCATCTTCAGCCACGGACGGATGCAGTCCAGGTCGAAGCGATGCATGGCATTGCAAGGGAGCTCCACAACAAGCGGATACGGATCTGTGTCGGACAAGTACGGCGTTAGCACCACCTCAGTCCAGCGCTCCCCCAAAAAGCGACTGGAACACTGCGCACTCACCGTCCAGGAACGGTAACCTGCAGATGGCACACTCGTCGTCTTTCTTCAGGTCCTTCTTCGGCACGCGCTCCAGCTCGTCCAAGAAGCTGTCGGGCACGCCGTCAATCTCCTTGGGCGGGTTGTCGATCAAAGCCTGCAGCTGGTCGAACATGGGATTGTCCGACGCGTCGCCGTCGCGGTCGGCGCCCATGACGACCAGGGCGTCGCGGTACATGGAGAACAGGGCGATGACGTCGGTGGGCGTGGGCAGGGCGTGCGGGTTGTGGCGGGCGTGGGCCTCGTCGGACGTGTCGAGCTGCTCGAGCGCCGAGTAGAAGGTCGAGAGGTCCGGCCGCCGGCGCTGCTCGGCGTTGGCCTTTGCCTCCTCGGGGGAGATGTTGTGTTCGACTGTGCTGCAATGTCAGCGGGAGTCTTCCGTCAGGAGCTCCGTTCGCGGAGCTGCGGTCGTGGTGTGCGTGCGAAGGACTGCAGCGGACTCTGGCATTCAGCGGCTTCTGCGCAAGGCAGATGCTCTGTTGATGGAGATTGTAGACACGTACCTTCGTAGCCTGACATTGTGGGGAAATGGGGAGGGCGATGAACAGGCAGCAGCGGCAGCAGTCGTTGTTAAGAAGCTCTCTCTCCCGCTGCAGGCAGCTCCGGCCGCGTCCGCGTCTCTTCCCCGCGGTGGCGCGCGGACACGCGAGTCGCGGTCGGGGGTTTGGCATGCCGACACGACGTCAGTCAACCGCGTGCAACCTACAGGGCTGAGGGCCCAAATAAGGTACACCTTTCTACATTCCTTGACCCACCCCAACAACCCGTGGCCTCTTCCCCGCTCTGCATGTCGCAGCATGCCGGTCGCCCTGACCTCGGAATTGCAACGCTATGAACGGCCCGCAGGATCCTGAAGCCGCCACCGAGTCCTTCCCGCCCTTCTCGCCGCCGCAGAACCATCAGCTTCCCACTCCTGCCCTGTCTCCCAGCCAGACAGACGTCTCCGCCGCCGACGATGGCTCCGCCTCTGGTCTGGGCATTTCCTCCGTCCCCGAGGGCGCAGTGGTAAATGGTCTCGCGAATGCGCCGAAGAAGCAGGACACAAACGGGGCCGAGAGGAGAGGGAGGTCACTGTCACATCGCCATGGGTCCATGTCAATGGACGGCGCTGTTTTGGCCGGCTTGGATACCAAAGCGGACCATCCAAAGCGGAAGAACAGTGTGGCTTCGTCCACCTCGCCGCGTGGCGACGCCGAGAAGGAGCGCATCCTGAAGCTTTCCCCGGCCCAAATACATGAGCTGACCTCGTCACCAACATCACTGCCTCTGCGTCCGGTGGATGGTCCCATCGAGCCAATGCCAAAGCTGGATGAAGCACCTATGATCCTTGAGAAGTCATACCCGACAAACCACTCTCAAGAGTCAGCGTCTCCGCAAAAGTACACATCGCCGCCTGAAAATGGAGAGCATCGAATGCACAGCTCATCAAAAACAAAGGACGCTTCCAGCTATCCTGAGCCAAGCCATGTCAAATCCTCCTCACGGGACGCGAAGAGTAAACCCAGCATGTCGCGGACTGTTTCCACTCCAATCATGCGCCGAAAGCAATCCAATAGGGGTACGCCATCCTTAGATCAGGCCCAGCTAAAGTTCCGGCCAACTCCTTTGAATCTGGATGACAAAAGAGGCGATTCGAACGGCGGTCTCAAGCCTTCTGCTATACAAGAAACCCCTATGGCCTCTCCAATGCCAGCGACTATTCCCTTACCGCCATTGTCTATTCCCACTTATTTACAACTGGAGCTTTCGTCCGATAAACCTTCTCCGCTGTACATTCATCGACCCGTGAACAGTGACTTCCCGTACGAGTCATCGCGGATCAAGTTCGAACGTCTGTTGAACTTTCTTATTCTACCATTCGAACTCGAGCAATCTCTATGGTTTGGCGCCCTTGCCTGTCTTGATGCCTGGCTCTACACCTTTACCATCCTGCCTTTACGCTTTCTCAAGGCCCTCTGGATCCTCGCCAAGTGGTGGGCAACGAACGCGTGGAAGGAAGTACATGACATTGCCGTTTTCATCTACCAAGGTGTAGGCAGAGTTTGGCAGCGAAGACGAGGGATGGTAGAACATCCCGCCGGCAACGGCTCGATAGAGAATGACTTGACGCCACGCAAGTCATCTTTCTCTCAGGCCTCAGACCCTCCCTCTGGAGTTTCGACTGGGAATAGCATTCCTATCATCAAGGAGCCAGCGCCTTCACGGAGGCCTCCAAAATCCTCCATCTACCGCCACCGCAGGCTCAAGTCTGTGCCTTCCACTCTGCTTCCAAACCACAAAGCGGACATCCTGAAAGGCTTGTTGGTGCTCGCAACCTGCGTGGTCCTAATGCGGTTTGATGCAAGTAAGACATACCACAACATCAGAGGCCAGGCCGCGATCAAGCTGTACGTCATTTACAACGTTCTTGAAGTATGCGACCGGCTTTTCTCCGCACTGGGCCAAGACATTCTCGAGTGCCTTCTCTCGCGAGAGACCCTGGACCGGAACGCCGACGGCCGGAGCAAAGTAATCCGACCTTTCTGGATGTTCCTCCTAGCCCTGGCGTACACTTCTATTCACTCCACCGCCCTGTTCTACCAGGTCATCACCCTCAACGTTGCCGTCAACTCATACTCCAATGCCCTTCTCACGCTCTTGATGTCCAATCAATTCGTTGAGATCAAGGGCACCGTGTTCAAGAAGTTTGAAAAGGAAAACCTCTTCCAGCTTACCTGCGCGGACATGGTCGAGAGGTTCCAGCTATGGCTCATGTTGATGATCATCGCCTGCCGCAACATCGTCGAGGTCGGCGGTCTGAGCATCCTCGGGGACATATCAGGCTCGTCCAGCGCAGCCCTCGGCAGCAACGGCACGACGGCGCCATTCCGAAGCACAAGCATCATCCCCAAGAGCTTCACCATCTTCCCCAAATGGACGGGGCAGGTCATGGGCCCGTTCCTGCTCGTGCTCGGCAGCGAGATGCTCGTGGACTGGCTCAAGCACGCGTACATCACAAAGTTCAACAACACCAAGCCGGCCATCTACGGGCGCTTCCTCGACGTCCTCGCCAAGGACTACTACTCCAACGCCTTCTTCGACCAGAACCTCACCAAGCGGCTCGGCCTCCCCGTCCTGCCGCTCGCCTGCCTCTTCATCCGCGCCACCATCCAAACATACCACATGTTCCTCGCCACGCACATGCCACTACCCATCGCATCGCCCGCCACGAGCCTCTCAGTCGAGAGCGGCGGCTCGCAAGCCACATCGTCGTCGTCGCCCGCCACGACGGCCGCCCTCGCCCACATCGACCACATCTTCCGCCGCGCGCTCGGCCGCTCCTCGTTCGGCGCCGGCGGCAACGTCGCGTCCCCGCAGTCTTCTTATTTTTCCTCGACGATGACCGGGACGGCGTGGCAGCTGTGGTCGCTCGACGACGTCATCGCCTTCACCACCATGATCGTCGTCTTCCTCGTCGGCTACTTCGTGCTGCTCGCGTTCAAGCTCGTGCTCGGCATGGCGCTGCTCGGCTTCGCGCGCTCGCGCTACAAGGGCATGAAGGAGCGCGAGAAGATGGTCACCACCACCGACGGCAAGCGCGTCGGCGGCTGGGGCGTCGTCGAGGTCGAGGACGACAAGAAGAGGTGGATCTATGCGGACGACCCCGAGGGGCTGCGGGCGCTGCGGGAGAGGGAGGCCAAGGCGAGGGAGAAGGAGATGAAGGAGGCGAGGGGGGGCGATGGGAAGTTGGAGGGGACGAGTCGGTATAGCATGGTTGCTAAGAGGATTTGGTAGTGGGGGAAGAGAAGAGGTTGGTGTGGGTGGTGGTGGAGTGGAGATGGAGAGGAGGGGGGGTGGGGGAGGGGAGAGGAGTAAATGATGATGTTTTTTTTTTTTCGTTGTTGCGGAAGAAGATGCTTGCATATGTGGGGGTGTTACGTGAATATCCGAGGTGTAGTACAACAACTAACGAGCCGAAGAGACTAGGTTTTTTTTTTCTCTCTTTCGGGCAATGATGTTACTGAGAGAGAAGGCTTGACGTATCACAGATGGCTTACCTCCAGGTCTCCGCCTGTTGTGCCAGACTGTCCGGATGAGGAATCCGCATCGACGGTGGTCACGTTCGCGACATACTCCTAGTTATTTCCATTACTATCGTGTCCGACCGACTGATAGATGCTCTCGGAGATACGAAGGTTCCTATATGGTTATCCCCTACAGCCGACGTCGTCACCGCAGGACACTTCGACAGCCATTATCGGCACTAGGAAGGTTCAGGCGGGTGCGGATAGCGGGCGCGGGTTGGCGAATGTTCTAGTGAAGCAAGGGTTAAGGCGGGCGAGCGGGTGATGACGCCATTGTAGATGCGCTGGGACTCTAGTAGGGGTACTGAGGAATAGCCCTTGTACGAGATTCTCACTACCGTCGCAGACGAAGGGGTGTGCTGTCGCTTTTCTCGCCCTGTTTTGACAGGTCAGCCTCTACATTATTCCACACCCGGTGCAGTGGAAAAGGGCTGCACACGCGAGCGTCTTCGCGCCCACGGCGGCTACACAACGTTGCGTTCCCGCTCACCGGTTAGGCTTTGTCGTCGTTACTACCCAGGGAGGACGAACATTATTGGGCACCGCCACTGCGCTGTACAGCAGTCAGTACTCGTGCCACTACCCCTGCCCCTCGCCCTCGCCCTCGCCCTCCCCTACTGCCAGGGGCACGCAGATACCCCTCACTTTCCACTAGCCGGACCCCATTTTCGTCTTTCCCTTGACCCGAAGATTGAGATTCCAGACATGCCGAATCTCCCCGCTGGTGCCGCCATAGAACAACCCCCCCTGCTAATTGGAGGGGTTCCAACAACCGTCCGACGGCCCGAGTCGCCGAGTCTGTGTGTGTCTGTGTGTGTGTATGGGGGAGGGAGACAGAGTACCTAGTGCGGTCTTCGGCTCGAATCGGGAAAAGCTTGTCGAAGCTTGTTTTTCCAGTGGAGCCCCGGCACGGCAACGCAACGCAACGCAACACAAGCTGGCACACACCCAACTGTGGCTGGCGCCGCATACTCTTTCACCGGTGTTTGCGGGATGATCGTAACGGAAAGCATTATTAGCAAGCGGGCGAGAGGCTGAAAGAGCGTACCGTGCTTTTTTGTCGGGGATTTTTATTGGTTGTAATACAATGCCCGTCGAAGGGTGCAGGGCAGGGGAAAGAGGTTTCTTGGGATGAACGGATCCTTTTCGATGACCGGGGGGACTAGGGCATTGCATGAGAGGGACGGCATGCCTGATGATCTGGATCGAGAGTGACGGCGGTTGATCTGAGCGCCGGGGGGAGGAAGGGTCGATGGTTTGGAAGTGTTCTGGATCGGGATGGGGATGCTCGGAGATAGCTCGGGGGCGCGTGATTGGGTGTACCGTCGACAGTGGCGGCTGCGTGCCTGGCGGTGCTAGCAAGCTTGGGGAGATTGGGATGGGATTGGTGGGGCCGTTTGGCTTTAGTCGTTGTGGGAAAAGGAGACGTGGTCTGAGTGTGATGGTGGTGGAGGGAGCAAGCGAGCCTTGGTGTTGAGAAGGTGGCCTGTTAGCTTGGAAGGTCTGATGGCGCTGACCGTACCTGGTCAGCCATGTGTCTATTCATGACCCGATGCTTGCTTGCCGTGGTACGTTGGGACAAGGTTAGATGCCTGCTGGATTCCAGTTGCTTCGGCACTGATGATAATCACGTGCGAGAGCGCGGCCACGACTTTCTTTCCTTCCCGACTTATTCGACCTACGTCATTGACGCGACCTGCCATCATCAAGGCCAAATCAGGCGAGAAGGATGCGCCAAAAAAAAAAAAAAAAACGTTCAAAGACCCTGGTCAGCGGCCGCCGATCTTGTAGTCACTCCCACGCTTACACCACTGCGTGGTATGTCTGTGGCTTGCCAGACACAAAGCATTTTCATGTTTGAACAAGCATTCCAAACCAATTACATCAACCAGGCACTGGACGTGCTTCGCCAGAAGATTGACACCATGCCGTCGCTCTCAAAGAATCAGTTCAAGGTCATCAGAAGCATACTGGAAAGGCTGTCCGTCCAGCAAAGGGAAAACACTGTTGTCCAGTCATGCATCACCTCGTAATGCTCATGTTCAACTGTTTGCGGGTCGGACAAAGATCTCGATTACAACATACTCCAATTACAGCGCTAGCTCCACGTCAATTTCGACTCTTAACACGCACTCTTTTGATAGTCTCTCATCCATCAAAATGATGTGCAGACTCGTGGACGTTGAAGGGAAAATTGTCGTCTCATTTGAAGCCGTGGCGATCATCGAGGACTCGGGAGTCCTGTTGAAACACTTCGGAACGCACCAGCCTCCATTACTCGTGGGATGCGCAAGAGAACTGACGTTTTCGATGGAGAATTCCAATATCAAGAGGGTCAAATGCCTGCTAAGCGCAGTCTTTCACATCAAGGTCAATAATGAATGGAAGTTTTCAAGCCATATGACTACACAATATGAGTAGCTGAATCGGGGTAGAACGTATTTTTCGAGTGCGAAACCCATCCCGATCTGTTAAAAAGAAAGTATCCAAAGCCGTGACTACCAGAGACGGCACCCTGCTCTTAGCCTCTTAGACACTCTCACTGGACTTGATATCGATGGAACCATGGAGTGTCCACTGGAGTTGGCCTCTATTTTGGCTTTCATGTCTTCTCTTCTAGATTTCAGTATGGAGTTATCCGCATGTTTCTAACTAAAAATGCTATCAGAAGATAGTTATTTCGTCATTTCATTGATGCCGTCCGTTTACATCATCACCCACGGCAATTCGGAAATCCTCAGGCTGATTAAGAAAGACAACCTCGGAAGTGCGGTTGGGATGCTGGAGCAAGGACGGACATCCCTCAGGGGACTGCAACACGAAAGGTCGGTCGTTACTAAGTATAAGTAATCACTATGGGCAAAATCTTGGTTTGCTCGGTCTTCTTTGATGGTCTCATGTCTGACCGGTCACTCGGACCTAAACTATCGCACGAGACCCTTGAAAGCACATGAAGTCCTAGTGGACGGGTTTCTAGACTTGAAACGAAGGGTCGATTCGACAGAGTGAGAGCAGGGGCAGATTGCAGGAGTGATGCGGAGATAAGCGACGGGGTTCAGGCACACCAAGTTGAATTGTCGGTTTCAGTATAGGCACTGTGCACCGGGCACACAGCTATAAAGTGCTTCATCCATCTCCTATATCATGGACGAGTCTCGACTACTCGACAGCACGGACGGCTGAAGTTCTCGTGCGTAGGCAAAGTCGTGGCCGCGAATACGGATCGTTTTCTGGCCAGAGTTGGCTGCCCTCGACAGTACATACGAGGGTGGCTGTCACCGAATCATGCAATTCCAGCGGCTCCGGCGAGTAGTTATGGCGATGATGCATCAGGTGGAGGGAGGACATGACACAACTCAGAACTACGTAACCTTCCTCTTTCCCGACGCCGCGGACCTTCCCGTCGGCCCTTTCCCCGTAGTCGGCTCTTTCTCCGTATCGTTGCAACTCTTCCCGTGGTGTAGATCCCGTGTCATGAGGCGTCCGTCCACGAGACCGCAGCCCGCAGCCCGCAGACCCTTTGCACCGGACCGCGCTCTTCCACCACGACAACGGAATCGGTTCCGCTCTCCATCGGATCCGGCCAAGCCGACACTGCCACCTGCCTTCGATACGACGTCGATAGCGAGACGGAGACAGCTCCGGCGCTATGGTGGGAGGGGGGCGCAGCTCGCGCGGCGTTATGGGTCCAACGTCCAACACAGCCAACGACGTGGAATCGGGAAATCGAGACATCGAGAAATCGACATCGGTAATTTGCTGCGGCAACGCACCCCACTCGGCAAAGCTGCCCACGTCCAGCCACATCGGACCGCAATCCTTCACCCATCGGTTGCACATGCGAGCTTTCGGCCGGCGCTAGAGAGACACACCTTTGCTCAACCCCAGAAAATTTTCAACATCACAAAGGGCGCGTGGTGGTTGGCGATCCAACGACACCATCAGACTGCTAGCCGGCTAGCCCGCCGGACAATGCCAAAAAAAGGGCCGAAGTAGATCAGTAGTAGTCGTAGCGAGAGACAGAACAGACTTCGAGTGGTACACCGGCCAGCAGCGGAGCCTTTTTAAAAAGCGCGCAGTAGCCCCTCGGCTCGGCAGGAAGAAGAAGTAATAAAAACAAAACAAAACACACCCTCTCCGGTGGTTCCCCCTCCCTTTATTCGTTCGTCCTGTTTTCGCTCGTGTATGCAACAACAACGACGAACATTAACCCCCCCCCACTCCCCCACCCTACACCCGAAACATTTCCATCCACGACTGTCATCAGCATCATCATGCATCCAATTGGAAGGATGAAAGGAAGGCAGCAAGGAAGGAAGGGGGGGGGGGAAATTCGCTCTCTGCATTATTATCATTATTATTGCTGCTGCGCCTCCCCCGCCTCACTTTTCCTCCCATCGTCTCCTCCGCCTGCCTACCTACCTGCCTGCCTGCCTGCCTTCTGCCCGTCACCCTCTCCCCTTGAAACCTTCTGCAAGCAAAATATCACTCCACCGCCGCTGCCGCTGCTGAACGCCGTAACCGCCCACCCGCCTTTTTTGTCTCCCCCCTTCCCGCGCTTGACGCGCGCGAGAGCCAATAGGAAAGTGCGCTACTGTCACTGTTGCTGCTGCTACTGCTGCTGTCACTGCTGCTGCTACTGCTGCTGCTACTGCTGCCACTACTGCTGCGTTGCCAGCTGACTACCCCACATGCTGCTTTCTGCGGCAAACCAAAAAAAAAAAACCATAGCCAATAATGAACCCCGTTGCGGTCTTCGTGACTAGACTTTCGCGAAATGTACTGAGCGAGACGACTACCCGTCCGGCCAGCCGTATTGCACACACAGTAAAGAGAGTGTGCCATGGCCAGTCGGGTTCGTGTCGGTCGCACGTCGGCGGATGGTTTTGCGACAGGAAGGAGTGGAAAAGGCCTGCTGCTAGGTCCCGCCGCGTTTCACCTGGTTAAAACGCCGTCTTGCCGCCCTGCCCACCCACCCCTGGCTTAAACGGATCTTCTGTCGATCACCCTTGGGTGAAGGATCGCGAGGACGAAGGAAGCGCCCGGGATGGAGCGGGAGATGCCGAAAGGGTTAAAAAAAAAAAAAAACAAATGGAGACCCTGAATACCGTTTGATCGTTACACGGCCTTCAAACTTCGGAAATCTTTTTGAGGTTTCGCAAGAGTGTGTACGTTGTTTATGTTTTTGCCTAGAGCATCGGTCAAGTTTCATAGGTTGAAATCCATTTCTATATTCTACCCCTCCCCCTTCGACCCTGCGTCAAATGCAACCCTTTGCACCAACATAATCATCGCTGACGCGCATATCTCTCAATTTGACGTGCATTGCATGCATGGTCAAGTCTATCTTTAATCCAACTGGTCCGAACTGTATACCGTATTCAAGACCCCCTCCTATAGCAATAAAGAAAAAGAACTGAAAACAACAAGTTCCGCCGTCTATACTTTTGACTCCACCGGATGCCGCCCAAAAAGTGGTTTGAAGGGGGGGTTATGGCTGTGTGCGTGTGGAAGGGGACGAAAAAGACAGGTCAAGCAGGAAAGACGAAAAGAAGAAAAACAAAAGGCCACACCACCGTCCATCCCCTTTCCTTCAATCAAGGAAAAAAAGACGAGAAAAGAGCCCTCTCCTTTCTCCATCCCCCTGGGTGTTGATATCTACAGCGCGAATGAAAATAGAAAGAACTAAGAATAAAACCGCTTGTGAAAGGCCACCAAGAACACGCGATTGAGACCTGAGTGGCCGAGCGAAAAGGGGGATCCAAACTAGGGAAAAGCCTCCAAGATCCCCCAAAGCTCGCCAACTGCAATCGGCGACGTCCAAGGGGCCGAAACTAACAAAAATGACAACTAGGCAAGAAGTCTATTTCGCTGCGCATCAAGATGATTTGTTCCGAATGTCTGCCTTGAGCCATCGTCGGAACGATGCTGGGCCGGCTGCTTTTTTTTTTGTCGCTGATGCTGACGTGCATAGTGTTGCTCTTTTTTGGCTCGCGGTGAATGCTGCTGTGGTTGCTGAGAATTGGATGATCGAAACGACTGGACGGCGAGAGTGGCCAACAAGGGATAGGTATCATCGCATCTACAGCGTCATATGTCATGGCGTCGTAAAGGATATCTCTCGAACAAAACGGAAAAAAACAGGCCGAATAAAACTACCTAATTTAATGCTGGGGCAGGCCGGAAGTGGGAAAATGTGCGGCGTCCATGGGAAAAAATATCGCACAATCTTCGACCGCCAATCTCGCGTCTCGGTAAATTTTGACTAGCCTGCCAAGGCGGCGGCCGCAGACCATTGCTCGCGCGTAGCCCGCCGCCAGGCCTCCGATCCAAAGCACTTTTGCACACCGAACGCGAGACGAGCTGCCAAAGATTGATACGACTGTGTGTGGACTACCGACGGCCTGGCAGCTTGCCACGGGGGTTATAACCACGACGGGAATTCCGCGTTCTGGCTGCTCATCGGTTCTACAGGGACTGAGAAGCCATTCACGCCCATACCAGTGCCGAGCATATTGTACCAGTCTGAGCCTTGAGAGTTTGCAGTGGCCGCTGTGTCAAGTCCGGTCTGGGGTGCGTTCATAGGAGCGCTATAATTGGCAGCAGTGAAGGTAGCTTCCGGGAACCCTGACGGAGCAGCAGCCGACGTCTGGAACATGGCCTGGCTGTCGAGCGCACTGGTGCCGAACACCGCCGGCTGACCCATGACGTTGCCATCTTGAGAGCTCGGCATGAAGCCAAGGTCCAAGTTCTGACGAGGCTCATTTGCCGGAACCGAGGTCGGCATTTGTTGACGAACATCTTGCTGGCTGAGCGATGCTGAGCTGAGACGGTAAGATTGAGGATCCCGCATCTGGAAGGGATCGTTCATCAGCTGCCGATCGCTGACAGAAGGGTCTTGCTGCATCTTGTTCAAGTCCATGTCGCCAAACAGAGCAGGTTCACCAACCTCGGATTGTGCGCCGGAAGACGAGGTGGTCATGCCCGGGACACTCTGGCGGTTCGAATCCCCGCTGTGGGAGACGGGCTGCAGCGAGTCCGAGAGCTTGTTCGGATCCAGGGGAAGATCGCCAGCAGACCAGGGGTACGGGTTGGTAGTCATGTCCGCAGCAGCCGAAGGAATGTTGTAGTCAAAATCCGGGGTAAGATCGCCAGTAGGAGAGGTGGATATGCTGTCCACCCCGTACTGCGGGGCAGGGGCGTACATGCTGTTCACCCACGAGTAAGTGTGCACCGGCAGACTTTCCGACATGGGCAGGCCATGGTGATCGGGCGCCTCTCCAACCATCTTGCTCAGTGCGCTTTGCTGGTTGTAGGCGTATTTCGAGGGATCGAAGATGGAGCAGTCATTCTCCAAGCTGGCAGCAAGAGGGGTCATGGGCACGCTCTCTGCCGTGCTCTGCGGAGGAAAGTAACCATATGCAGAATTGTTCAGGTTCAAGCTGTCAACCGAGCGGCGGGCTGGGTCCATGGTGCGGCTGTACATCTCGGCGAGATTGTCGTGAGACTTGTGAACACTGCTGCCGTGGGGAGTGTGGTGCCGCGGTATCCGGTACGGAGCGCCCGAGGTGTGAGCAGAGTTGTTCAAGCGGTGGCATGGCTTGTGGTGCCCGTTGGCAAAGACGGTCAGCGTCGTCTCCGAGTGGGCACTCGTGAGACGTGGCTTGGCCTTGCTGAGCTGCACATTCTTGGTGAAGCCCGTGTCCAGCTTGAGATCCAGGTCCTTTTTCATGCCGCAGTGGCATTGCTCGCCGAGATGGCAGGCACAGCCGTGCGAGGGTCCAGCAAGGCTCAGGGCCGTTTCAATGTTGACGTGACCATCGTGCTCGCCTTCGCTTGCGCCGGCGGCAGCGGCAGCGGCAGCCGCCTTCTCCGCCTTGGCTTTGTCCTTCTTAGTACCGCAGTCGCAGCGGGCGTGGTGCGACTTGGTCTTGCGAGCCTTCTGACAGTGTTCGCACTGCTTGACAGGACGACCCTTGGGGTTGATGTGTCTTAGTGGACGATCTGCGTGCCTGTCAGAGCTGCGTTCTTGGAAAGATTTTGGCTTGCCTGGGGCCGCTCAGCGGCGCGGCGGCGAGGTTGATGGCGGCGGCGGAAGGCTGCGAGGTAAAGACACGGCTCGAGGCAGTCTGGCGTCACTTGCGGCAGTAGGAAGGTTTACCTGAGTGCGTGCACCCGCTGACACGATGGCCTTTGATGCACGAGTCACAAGCGTATTTCTCGTTATTTATGAGAGGCATGCTTGGAGTCCTGTGCACAGGCCGGGCGGTCTGGCTGACGCTCTCTACGATCGCGGTGGTGGGCACTTGGAAGCAGGCAGGCGACGGGAGGTCGACGGTTGTCGGCCGGGAGACTGCAGCGGGCCGAGAAGCTCGACGGCGTCGCGAAGGGTCGGGAAGCGGTGGTCGCGCGGGCGGGAAGAGAGTGCGGCGGGGGAGGGTGAGCGCTGGAGACGCCGATTGAAACGCCGCAGCAGAGTGGAGAGAGAAAAGGCGGCTGAGAGGTAGAGGGGCCGAGCCGTGCACCAGATGGCGCTGGCCGAAACGCGTTCAACTCGGGGATCGAGGATGGGCCGCTCAGCACAGGTTGGGATGGGAGGGCGTCCTCGGTGTTGGTAGGTGTTTGGAGGAGGTGAGCGAAGCCGACTCGAGGTGGGCGGGCGCACTGGTGAAAATAGGTCTGCCGCAACAGGCTAGGCCTTTCCGCTGCCTTTGCAACCTCGATCGTAACCAGCCCGTCGCTACCATTCGCTCCAGGCCTCCTGAGCGCCGGTCACGCTCCCTGCAAGACGCGCCGCCCGCACCAGCCCGCCAGAGGCCAGTTGTTTTCGCCGACACAGCCACTCTTCCTGTGCAATCGGCTGCCGCCCGCGCTCGGCGGCAAAGCGTGCGAATGCCTCTTCAGGACGTGCGCGCTGCTAGCCAGAGGCGATCACGCGCTTGCTCCCAACTTCCACCGCTGCTTTGGTCGTGCTCCGACGCAGGGCAACCGACCCGGCGCCCGCCGTCGCCCTGGAGCCCTGTCAACACCCATGGACCAGACGCCCTCGACCGGTGGGACCGCGCACAATCTCGCCAGGGCCCGCCCGCCGGAACCCGCGATGCCTCCACGCCTTCAGCCGCCGCAGCTGCACAGCGCAGCGCTGTCGCCGTCGCCGTCGCCGTCGCTCCGGCGCCGTCAGCGGTGAGCGAACCCCATATTCTTACCGCAGGCGCATATACCGCGCCGCCGCCGATCGAGGAGCGAATGCGGCGGCCGCGCGGACGCTACAGGCGGCCACCTGGGCCTTGTTGGCGGGGGCGGGTTAGCCCCAGCTTGCACTTCGGCACCCCAAGGCGCTGCAGAATGCACTGCTCCCAACGAATGCGTCGCCTGCCTGGCTACGTAATGCCGGAGGGGTCGCCTCTGCGCTGGCCACTACTGACGCTATCGATCGTTGCCAAGTCGCGGATCAGCGACCGTCCGCACCAGACCCGCCCGCATCCCGGCCGGCGAGGCGTCGCTCTCGAGCAACGCAGGTGCAAACAGCTGGCTTGTCCTGCGCCATCAGCCCGCGAGACAGATCCGAGTTCATGACGAGAGCCAGGCACCAGATTCCCCTGTGTCGCCGCTACACCCGTGCCGTGTGCTCACCACCGCCGCCGCTTCGCAAATACGCCGGTCAGGCGAGGCCGGGCAAACGCTCTGGCGGCTTCGCGCCGCAGGATCCCCTGGCTGTGAGTTCCGATACCGTAGCAGCCATCGAGCGCCGCTGTTCGCAGATCCAATGATGACATGCCTCGCTCTTTCCTATTTTCGGACACATCTCCTTCGTCTGGAGAGATCATGCAGCATCCCTCCCGACCTCGACGCAGGCACGGCGAGCCGCTTATTTGATCACCACTCGCCAGTCACTCAACACGCCTACGGAATCATGTGAGCCAAGCCAGCGCGTGGAGCAGGCGATTGCCTTGGCCTCGGGACAGCCCCGTCCCCTGTCCGATGGATTGGCGTCTCTTCGACATCGAATTGTTTCTAGAAGTGAAGCAATAATCCCGCTGTGGCGTATGTCTCGCTTTTGCCTATTCGCATGCACAGGAACGTGTCAATTCCTACCGAGTGCCACAATGCTTACAACTGATCTCAATTCTCCCTCCTGCCTTTCAAAACTTAGCAGGCTCTCTGCATGTGAGTAGTTGGAATCCACGTCTATGACTTCGGAACCTTTGTTTATTGCTAAAGATTGCTTGCCCCGGCCAGGTAGCCGGGGTGTAACGTCTTTCGCAGGACGGTGAAAGATCTTTTCTCACCCACCGTTGGCGCCTGCCTAGTTGAGACTGGTCTATGGCCGCTGGGCCGCAAGCGTGGCATCACAGCAACGGTCTGGGTTATTTCGATCTAGATGCTCGACTGATTCCATGACCAGACACATGCTCCAGTAGCCTGCCGTTGTGGTACATTATGCGGCGAAGCGAGGAGGCACAGCAGCGTGGTGAAGACGATGGCCGAGGATGTCGCGCGTCCCCGCTCGACAGCTCATGCGGTGTGAGTGCGTGATAGCGGAGCGCACGCTGGAGTGATTTCGCGCAAAAACCACGCAGTGATTCGGGCGCATGGGAGGGCGAGAAACGGCATTCGCGCACGACTGGTGGCGGGTAATCGACCGCGCTGCAGCCTGGGTATTTGTGGTTCACGCGGACCGACATTGCTCGTAAGCAACCGGATCTTCACTTGAAGCTATACCCGACGCCTATGCCCGTACGCTTGACGATATCCTTTTATAGAATGAAGGAAAATCCTGTTATTTTTGCTTCTCAGGAGATCGGTCTTCGTCACGCTCAATGGTCATATTACGCCAGCCTCACATGACCATTTGTCGTTAGCCACGGGCATATCCTCACGCGGGGGTCCCTTGGGCGTTATAGCCCGACTGCTTAGTGATGGACTTGAAACACTACCTGGAGCGGTAATTTCCTCGACAGCTTCGCAGCTTCTTTCAAACAAACATGCCTTCCCAATGTCGTCGTTTCGGCCTATGCGTTGCTCACTTCCCCGATAGATTACCATCATCCCGCTTTTCCTGAAGCTTATCAAGCTCCCTTGAAGATTGGCTAAAAGTCGCTTAGTTGGTGGGTAGAAGCTTCCAAGGCGGGTGGTTTGCATAGACTCTTTCACGTAATTGCCAAATCGTGTCTGGACGTTGGGTGTAACGTTACATGTGGCCATTTAATCATCTTAAACGCCACCTTACATGCTGACGAACTGACGTGGTTTGTAAGCGGAATAAAATCCAAGTCTACAAGCCCGTCCATCTCTGTGCCATGTCCTGGTTGGTAATTGACGTTCAAAGAGCATCTAAGCCAACTAGAGGCAGGCTATACCGTGGTTTGAGAACAAGTTCGTAATGCATGAGGCGGTATACTTGACTGCCTCATCGCTGAGCATCATCCGCACTCAAGTAGCCAGAATCCTCCGTGGCTCTGCCAATATCCGGGGGGATGTCTTCTCCAAAGTTGCCATCTCTGCGGCAACGACTTTGCCCGGGCCGGGTAGTTAGTGTCGCCGGTGATGTGCCGTGAGATTGCTGGAGAGAGCGCGGTATCACTCGTGACGGCGCCGAGCAGCAAGCAGCTTGCGGACCTGGTGCCGGTGAGCAGGGCCCCGTCCGGGTCGGGGATGGGGTGTGGATGGGCGGCTGCAAACATCGAGCGACACATGGGCACGGATCACAGCTGTCGCGCGTGGCTCTCAACCACCGAACTGTTTCTCCGCCCGCCGCTCCGTCTCTCAGTCCGAGCCTGGAAGAACTCAGGCCCGAGGTACCTCGTCCAACAACGTCTCGTGTCGCGACGATGGCGGCAAGTTGCGTTGCGGCCGCCAGAACGCGGAGCAGTGTCGACCATGCCGCAGAAAACCAGCGCTGCGCACCATTGCGTGCCTCGAGAGCTGCCCGTTCGGCTAGCGCCATTACATAAGCCCTGTACTCGCGCAAACCAAAACGCGACTCGCTCGACGACCTCCACCTGCCACAACCCGCCAACCGCGCCGCCGCCTTTCTAAGCACCCATCTCGTCCAGCGCACGCCGTCCCGACGCGTCGTCTCCATCCCGGCGTGCCACGGCAAACATGTCGGAGCCCCAGTCGTACCCGTCGCCCAACGCCGCGCAGATGGCCGCCGGCGCCGCCGGCCTCTACGCCCATCCGAACGGCAACATGTCGCCAGCCGAGGCCTCGAGCGCCGTCGACCCGCACCTTTCTCTGCACAGCGGTCAGACCCTCGAGCAGGAGCTTTCTGCCCAGTTGCGCGGCGCCGCCGAGGCTCCAATGGGCCAGGCACAGCACCAGCAGCCGCAGCATGGCCTTCCAATGGCCCATGTCGGCCAGGTCCACACCCCAGTTCAGCAGCCGTCGACACCGCAGCAAATGGCCCAGAACGCCATGAACATGACGCAAGATCCACACTACAGCCAGCAGGACAGCAATCAGAGGAAAAGGTCAAAGGTGTCGCGCGCCTGCGACGAATGTAGGAGAAAGAAGGTACGAGGCAGTCGCGCCACTCGAGTTTTAAGCGCCACCGCCTCTCTGACAACGGCCAGATTCGCTGCGACGCGACTTCTGAAAATGGACCCGAGGCATGCACAAGCTGCAAGCGCACAGGCGCACGCTGCCAGTTCAGCCGGCAGCCCATGAAGAGAGGCCCGAGCAAAGGGTATTGTTCCCCTCACACCGCTCTCTTTGCGACTTCATCGGAACGTGCTCACCATCACTAGTTACATCAAGGAACTAGCCGATCGACTCACCCGGCTTGAGTACGAGCAGCAGCAACAGATTGGCCATTCTCCCCAAAACGGACAACAACACTCGCAAGTCCCCGAGCTTCAGAGCTACCTTCAGTCGATGGGCGATCAAAGTATGGCCGGCTTAACAGACTTTTCCGCCACTTCTCCCGCGCCGCATTACGGCAGCGAGCGGAAGAGGACTCACTCCATGTCCGAAGGTCCAGGAGACCAATTCCGAACTTCCTTATCACAACCGCCCAATGGTGCGCAACAATCCTGGGATCGCAGGGAGCCATTTGGCACTGGCTACGAGCATGATGCTGCCGGCACATTCTTCGAGTTTAGCCAGAACGCTGACGTAGCAGTGAACGAGTAAGCGCCTATTTTTGACTTTTTGTGGATCCTTTGCTGACCATACAGGTACTACCGCGTGATTCAAGACACGTACCCCGTCCTGCCGTTTGATTTGAGAAATCTGAAAGGCCGTTTGGCAAACTGCGACGCCAAACTGCGGGACGCCTTCACCGCTGCGATCGACTGCGCCGTCAGAGCCTGGCCGTCTACAAGCTTGGCCATGGAGTCCAACCACCAAGAACGTTGCTACAAGGCTTACCAGATGCTGACATCGCTTGTTGGTACTACCGTTAAACCAGCTGGCATTATCCTTGTCCAAAGCTTCTTACTACTCACGATCGAGGCCGACGTGCATGGCCCTCGCCGTTCGCAACCCCTTTCCTATCCGGATAGCCAGCCGTTGAAGGATATGTGCCTTGCCCAGGCCACTAGAGTTGCTACGAGCTTACGATTTGATGCCTTAATATTCCGGCAGCGAGGTCAGGAGATTAGCCCAGACAATGACGAGGCGCTGGGTCGACGCCTCTTCTGGGTTCTCTTCATCTTTGATCAGCTGCATGCTATCAGCACAGCGACTGCACCCAGCCTCTCGGCTGAGCGCAGCCACCTCACTGGCGATGACGAAGCCCTCTTTGGACCCGTGACTTTTGCTCTGGCTCGTCTTTGCAAGGCTATGGGAGGCTTGCCCGATTACTATAGGACACTTGCGGACGTCCCTCCCAGTAACAATGACGTGCTGGCTTTGTACGATCCAAACAACGCCATCATGAAGCTGACGAAGACGGCTTTCCTATCCTCTCTTGAAAGATTCTCCGAGACTTTGCCCTCAGACCCCCATCCTTTGATCCTTCTTGCCTACTTCCATGTCCATCTCCTCATCGTCCGCCACACCCCCGGCTCTGAACCCGGGGAGATCTTGCATGACGCGACAGCTATTGTCACTCACTTGCAGAGACACCAGGCTCTCATCACAACGCCACACCACCACTTCGCCGCTCTGGCCGCCCTAACATTAGGCGAACTGGCCGAGAAAGACGAGACCAGGGAAGAATCGCTGCGCTTGCTAGGAGAGCTGGAAGGCGTCCTGAACCGCAATAAGGTCGAAGGCGACCTCGGCTGGGACGCCAGCGTCCGCGAGTACGCCGGCAAGAAGCGCTCGTCCATCAACGAGTCGAACGGCGGCGCGTCGTCGACGATGCTCGAGCACTTGGCCGCAGCGGCCGTCGGCGAGCGCAGGGACTCGGGCTCGAAGGCGTCGCCTTCGGAGACCCGGCCCGGAAGCAGCGGCGGAGGCGACCCGCCGAAGGACGACATCAGCAACGCCGCGGCCGCGGCGGCGGCGGCCGTTGCGGCCGCGGCGTCCCTCAACCAGAGCTTGCACTTCAACCCCGCAAACCTGGTCAGAGACGGCTACCTGAACGTCCTCGCGCACGTGCTGAACCAGCAGCAGCCACAGCAACACTGAGGAGTCCGTTCTGTTCTCTTTTTTCTTCAGGCACAAGCTAGCTAGTGTTGCTTTGTAACTTGGTGCCTATTTGCGCAGCGGCGCCTTTTGTGTTTTTGTTTTTCCCTTGTCTCCTCTCCCCTTTTATTTGGGTCAGAATGGCCGGGAACCCTGGCGTGTATCAAGCGGTTAAGGATGGTAGCATCGTTGAGTGCTAGTACGACAAAGGTGCGTGGGCGAAGGGGAAGGTTTCAAGAACAAAAACATCAAAGCAAGCAAGCAAGGCATAGCTTTTACTATTCTGTGTTTTCTTAGGCGGTGGGGGGAGGGAGGCAGACCGGGTCCATTACTTTTATCTCACCTTGGGAGCCGGTGGTTGGAATGACGGTTATACCGTAGTTCGATTGGAAGGAAATCGGGACACAGGCACAAATTATGTGACGTTGGATGCTGATCTGGCTTGAATTGTGTGTACGTGTTTGTTGAGTTGGGATGTCTGTCTAAATAGCTGCGCTGTGCATAAGAGGCGCGAAGTGAGTTGAGAAATTGATCGCAGGACAGACGCCACAACCCATCGGTTCCTTATACGACTCATTCCGTTTTCATTCCCTTCTCCCCCATCTAAAGTAACCCGTTCACGAGATATATAATGTTCGACTATAAGAGCGCAACGCATGTTCCTTCCCCCCCTGCCTTGACCATAGGTCAAATATGTGCCATGAGGATGGAAGGGACATCAAATACGCGTATGCGATTAGAAACCTCTGATAGTATTTGTGTGTTCTCTGGGGCTACAACAGCAAATAGGAGCGGTGAAAGAAACCAAAAAAAAAAAAAAAACAGTAAGAAGCAACATAGCTTCAGAGCCCTCCGTATAATCACTCCACTGTATTCCTCCCCGACTTACTTCCACCCTACACACACCCAAGCCTTCTCGATGGCTTATCTGAGGGAGGGATGAGGACACAGGCAGGCAAAAATGCTGGATGACTGACTGACTGACGGACTCTCTCTTCATCGTGAACGTACAAGTCAAGAGCGGAAAGGAAATAGCCCACCCAATAAAAAAAGGAAAACCGAAGTCCATCACTTGGAACCACAAACTCCTCGCCCGCTTTCATCTATTCCCGAAGCAACAAAATAAAACCAAGACAAGACAAACGTAAACGCATACCGAGACAAGGCGTGTATCGGAAGGGTAAAGAGAACGATGAAAAAAAAAAACCACAAGCAATGAAAATATTCGCACGTTGTGAAGCGAATAATCCAATCTGGTCTGAATGCAACAAAGAAGCCTTTCTTCAGTGCAGTGACTCCACTGAAATGAAGCTCAACGAAAAGCTCGACGACCATTTTGCGCCAGAGATGCCAAGACAAGGAAAAGGAAATTCGAGAAATTGAAATACAATTCAACCAGGTATGCGGGCGGGAGAGGCTACCTCAGGACGTTTGCTTTACGCTCCCCTCCATGGGCTACCCCCTCTCCTCCTGCTTGCACTATCCCTCACCTCATCCACACTTCTGCGTCCGGCCTGGTGGGTGCCCAACTCGCTCATGGTGAATAGCAATGGCTCATCATCGTCCAGGTTGGCGGCCACGCTGAGGGGCCTAGATGAGAAGCTGAAACGACTGCCAGCCCGGCTGCTCCGTCCGCTTACGAGACCACTATCGCTCTCACCACGCTCGGATGCAGCGCTGCGCCTTCCGTCACTGGGTCCGTTTTGCTGAACACGGGTGCGGTACGCAAGGCTAGGGGTTGTCGTCCGAGCTGCTCCGGCAGAGTGAGTGCGAGTGTGGCTTGTCAAAACCGTTTGTGGGCTCGGCTCGGGATCAGCAGCACCCTCGTCTCCGCCAGCAGGAGCGGAATTTGCAGGAGTAGCAGGATCTTGTACTCCAGCATGCAGCAATTCGCTGAGGCTCAAATCCGGTCGGTCGTCGGTCGGCAGGCTTGCACTACGCAAGCCAAACATTTCGGTCTCGTCTTCAAGGGTGTTGCGATTCTGCTGGCTGACTGAAGAGCTGCGGCGGGCGTAAGCCCAAGGACGAGGCGATGTGGGAATATCGATGGCATTGGATCCTTCGCGGTCACGAGTCGTCGAGTCACTGCCAGTATCGCCAGTTCCGGTCTCTTCTTCGAGTCGACGAATCCGCGGACTACGGCTCCGGGTCTGTTCAGAGTAATCGATGATGCTGTTCGCACTTAGACGAGAAGGAATGGCAGGAGTGTGGGGCGTATGCGGAGAAATAGGCTTTCCGGGGCTAGAAGAAGTGGAGACTGATGCGCCGGCGATCATTCCAGGAACATTCGAGATCTGTCGGCTTGAAGAACTAGAAGAGCGGTGCAAATGCAAAGAGGAGGAGATGGAGTCAGAGAGCGCGGCGTTCGATTCGCGCATGCGTTGGTACTTTGACAATGCAGCCGTCGTGCGCCGCATAGAAGCATCACGAGACGCAGAATCTGTACGGTTCAAGCTCTTCAAATCTTTCTTCTGCTCCAACAGTTTCAGAAAGTCTGAAATGTTCTCCTCGTCTGTCTGCACTGAACCTGAGCTTCCTCCCTCCAGTCGCTGTGCAGACGAGGAAGCGCTGCCCTTTCCGCTACTGTTGTTATCATCCTCGACCTTGCTGGAAGTGCCTCCGTATGAGGGCCTGTTGCGGCGATTGCTAAAGCTGCTGCTGTAGCGCGAGATCGGCGCGGGTTTCGGAGAGCTAGATGCTGAAGATGCGATGGCTGTTTCGTTGGGGAGCGAATGTCCGGTTGGTGTCCTCAATGCTGTCTGAGGAAGCGCGTTCAGCGAGCTTCTGTTTCGCGTGTGACCAAGAGCTGCATGGCCGGAGCCGGGCCTTCCTAGTGATGTGGCGGGCGAATAGACACCAGGTACAGGAGAAGAAGACAGCGATCCTGCCTTGAAGGGATTCGCGGGATGGAACGACACCGATGTCCTGCGGGGAGAAGCAGGACTGCTGGGATCTACGCCGCCTCGAAGGGAAGACTTGGATCCGGTTGCGATGCGGTGATTGGGTGGAATCTTCTGGGGCGGCGATTCAGGCGAACCCATATCCTTGGCGTTACGAAGGGCTGACATCGGACTTGTTCCAGTGGCCCCCGCCTGGTGAAACGTAGACAAGCTTCCATAAGCCTCACCCCGCCCATGCATGTCCGTCTGGGCATTTCTACCTGTGGGCAATGATCCGGGGACACGCTCGGGATAGGAAGGCGAAAAGGAGTAGTCGTCCATGCCCATGAAATGGGAGCTCAGTACAGACTCAGACTTCTCCACGCGGAAATCAGTATTGCCCCTGTACTGGACTTGAATACCTAGGAGGCCAATAGGTGACTTGACCGAATCGAACTGGTGCGACTGTGCCTTGGAATCAGCGCCTGGGTAAAGCGGGAGGTCCAGAGTGTCTCTTCGTGGGCTCTTGAACATGCCGTTCGAAATGCGGTATCTCAGCGGCAACATGGGATGTGTCGTAGGCTGTTTAGCAATCTGCCTGTAGTATCTCCATGCAGGTAGAAACCTCGTATAAGTGTACAATGAGCGGAACAGTGGAATCCCGTTCTTGTAGACAAGCGGCAACATCCTGCTGGCATCGGGATCCATCTTCTGGTAGTCCGTGACTTCGACGTTCCATCGTTCCAGAACAACCTGGGTAGGTCGGCCAGAGCGGCTGGCTGGTCGAGCTGACGCCGGAGTAGATCCGCTCAACGCCTCAGCTACATCCCAGAGCTTTCCATGCTCATCTACAATGGCTAGAGCCTCGCCATCCCCCAGATCCTTTGTATCCAGGTATACCTCGATGCAGAGAGGAGGTGGCGGGCTGTTGACGAGGTCGGTCGCTGTCCATTCCCGCAGATCGTCGTTGTAGGCGTCCGTTTCATCGAGCAGAAGGCTAAACTGTGGTCAGGGTTAATTAACGCTCCCAATGAAGGATGACTGAAAGTGCCATCGATATACGAGAGTAAAAAATGTGTGTTACTCACCCATTTGCTCTGACGAAGCTCACCCCTGGCACTGAAAGCCTTCGGAAGCTGGGTTCGTGCGGATAGCACTGTGAGCGTCGCCTTCTTGTAGAATTGCTGAAGGAGAGCGTTAGTCAGGAGAAGATGCACGACAATGTAGTGTTCAACGTACCATGATGACCTGGTTGAGCTTCTTCTGAGTGCGCTCTTCCTCGGTCTCTCCATAGAAGTCGGGCTCACCGCCATCGCTGGCTTTCTCAATGTAATCGGAACCGGTGTCACTGCGAGCAGTCGCATGCGACGCCACTGTCGATGCGGACTCGGAACGTATGTGAGCCATGTCTCTCGGGTTGTTCGTTCTGGAAGGGTTCGTGCGCGGCGAGTTTGCCGAGGAGGCGGCCCTCGGGGACGGGCGTGGATGTTGGTGCATAACGGCGGCCACGTGCGAGGACGAGCTTTGAGAGCACTGGGAGAGGAGGTGTATGGGTGATGCGAAGCCGAGATGAGTGCGTGGTGTCTAGGGGAAGTGTGCAAGATGGAAACCTGGGTACCAAGCCATCACGAGCGAGCGCAGTCAGGACTGTAACTTGGTGAGGAGTCGGAGGCAGGCCCGCAGTGGGGTAGGCAAGGCTTTTTTCGCAGGCTCCAGGATTCTCAAGGTGATGAGGGCGACGGGGGCGCTCAGGCAGCCATGATCGTCAAGGTTGGGGCGGCTGTATCTAGGATGCCTCAGGCGGCGAAATAGGTCGGCGGAGCTCTACGCTCGCAGCGCGGTATGCGAAGGCGCGGCGGGTGGGATGAAGGCGCAGGTACTCGGCGGCGATGGTGGCAGGAAAGCGACGAGGAGAGGCAGAGTGGCGGCGGACGAGTCAAGAGTGCTCAGAGTGCGAATGCTAGCTCCATGTGACTGGTCCGAGTGACGGTGATGACTGGGAGGTTGGCTGGGGCTGCAGGTACCGAGAGTGAGACGGCACGGCTGAACTGGGTGAGCTCGGGGCGGAGATTGAAGGGAGAGAGGCGTGCAGCGGCGGATGGGAGAGGAGAGAAGGAGAGACGTGCACTGGGTCGGGGCGTGGATGCTGGCGTGGAGGTGTACGAGCAGAGCAACGGTCTGGGGGAGCTCGCGGGCGATCCGCGGCAGCGAAGCCGGCGCGCTAAGCCGCCAGCTCCGCGTGGATGCTGTGGGGCGGCCACACAGGGCGACGACTCACCTGCCGGGCGAAGTGATGCTGGCGCAGGTCGACCTTTCGGAAGGCTGGACTGCAGGCTGCGATGCGCGCCGCTGCTGTCGCTCTCCCGCGGCGAGGATGGACGACGGCCGCGAACCTCTCTGGCTGGAAGCGCGCGCAGCATGCATCAGGCACGCGCCGATTTAGGCCCGACCGTCGCTGACCGGTGCGTGACTTGGTCTCGTGCTGTCGTCGCGCTGCTCTATCGCAGTCGTTGCTGTGCCAGCGATTGGTTGGCGCGGACAAAGCGGCCGCCGTCCCTTCACTCTCAACACCGCGGTGGATGGCGTCTTATCGCCCTTCTTATCGCGCCAGAGCATTAGCACCCGCAACCCGCCCGGCCTGCTCCCCCATTGGCCTCGCGCCTGCCGCAGCACTCGACTTTCACCGCTGGAAGCGCGCCCGCCCATGGCGTCAGCCCTGGCTCTGGCGATGCCACGCCGAGGCACTCGACGCTGTGCCATCGTTAACGGCGCCTACCAACGCATCTCGCGCAGCTGTCCGCGCACAGGCGCTCGCGCCACGCCCTGCGCCCTCGCACGCTTGGATGTTCTCGAAGCCCGCGCGCGTTTGCTGGCACGCTGGTCGGTGTCTGCGCTCTGCGCTCTGCACTCTGCGCTCTGCACTCTGCGCTCAGCGCTCAGCCTCAGGCCTAGCGCCGCGATGCCAACGGCGGTCGAAGGATCGCACGCCTCGGAAGCTCAACCCTGCCTCATCACACAACAGTGCTATGACGTTATCTTCAGCCTCGTTGGGCCTGAGATGGCACCAACGACTCATGGGCCTCCGCTGACAGGCTCGGGGACCCAGCAAGGTAACCAGGACGCAGGTATGATGACGGAGGAACACTAACCTTATTCACTGTGCTCAGCCAGGGAGAGGATCGTAGGCGAACGGTGGATTATTTCGCTCCGAGCACTACAGCCGCTCCTCGGCCCCGGCAGGATCAGCCGAGGGGCCCGGATATGAAGGGTCCAATCTTCAACGGGGGGCCGTCAGTGCGACGCTCATCACGAACAGTGAAACCTCTCAGCTGCCCTCGCCACCATGAAAATCGCTCCATCCCTTTGCTCACGCGCCTCGTCTGCTCCACGAAAGCTCATCCGCCCATCTCGAATCCAACACGGCCGGATCACCGAAGATGGAAGACCATTTCATCCGTGAGCTGCCCAAGCTGGAACTCCACGTCCACATCGAGGGCACATTGACTCCTGAACTCCGCTGGAAGCTTTCCCAGAAGAACACTGTCCATCTGCCATACGATTCGCTGGACGCCCTGCGCAACAGCTATCAGACCATGTATAACCACCGTAAAGAGCTTCACGGGGACAACGGCCTGCCCACCTTTCTGGACGTGTATTATGGTGGGCTAGAAGTTCTCCGCACTGAAGATGACTTTTACGAGCTTGCTATGCAATACTTGCGCAAAGCCTCATCCATGAACGTGCGTTACGCCGAGCCCTTTTTCGACATTCAGGCGCACACGCGGCGCGGCGTTCTTGTAGCCACGGTAATGGAAGGCTTGAGGCGCGCAAAGGCAGACGCTGTAAGTGAGCTGGGTGTTCACTGCAACTGGATCCTCTGTTTCCTGCGAGACATGAGCCCGGATTCAGCAATGCAAGCCTACGAGGCTTGCACGTCATACCAAGACACGGTCTTTTGCGGCATTGGACTCGACAGCAATGAGTACAACCGCCCACCGATCCTGTTCGATGGCGTATTTCAGCGGGCAAGAGCGGATGGCCTCAAGATCACAAGCCATTGCGACGTTGGGCAAAAAGACACTCACGCGCACATCGAGCAGGTCGCGAGCCGCATTGCAGGTCACGGTGCGGATAGAATCGACCACGGGCTGAATGCCGCTGAAAGGCCGGAACTCATGGAGCTGATCAGGAGGAGAGATCTGGGCATGACCCTTTGCCCACATGCTTATCATCGTCGCAACCCCACGGAATACGTCTTCCCCCTAGTGCGCAAACTGTTCGATGCTGGGATCAAAGTCACGGTCAATTCCGACGACCCAACATACATGCACAACATGTGGGTAGAAGATAACCTGAGGCTCGTGCAGCAACACTGTCAGCTTACTCGGCGGGAGCTGATACGCTTGCAAATGCACGCTGTTGACATATCTTGGTGTGGCCTCGATCTCAAAGGAAAGCTTATGGATGAGTTGACGAGATTTGGCCAGCTCTGGTGCGACTAGCTCTGACGTCCGACCGGTCGCACATTGTTGGCCTGGGCCTTAATCGAGTTTGCGTTTCGTTGATGAAGTATCGTAGCCTTTGAACTCTTTTCATGAATGTCTGGGCGACATTGTACTGATCGATGCTCAAAAGAAGCTCCGTTACGTTGTATTGAATGCGGTTCTCACTCCTACCCTTCGATTTCAAACCCTCTAGTCCAAGACCCTTCTAACGAGCGCCTTAGCATGGCTATACCGTGGGGCATTCGGAATATCGCAGCTCTAGATGGTCAGGGATGGGCTGCAGAGGTGCTAAACACCATACGAGAGGATTTGTTAGCGGCAAGACGACTGGCTAGGAGCGAAGCTCAAGCAGATGCACTAGGGCGAAGGCTTATCTGCGTTCTTGGCAACTTCAACCAAACAACATCTCTTCAGGCAAGGTCTTGTAACTCAGCCAGCCGCTACTGATCAGCAATCCATGTAGTTTAGCCGCCTCCTCATAGAAGAAAAGGCTCGTGTAACGACAAAATAGCCGACAGCCGACAAATCGGGCCACGTGCGAGCAGGCCGATCACCGCCCTGGCCGATACGATAGCGATAACCACACTGCAAGGAAACAAGCCTAAGCATAAAACCCGAAGGATCATGCCTGCGGCGTCTTCTACGGCGCCTACCGGGACCGCGTCTGCTGCTTCATCGACGACTCCCGGCCGTTTCCCGGACCCATCGTCGTCGTCGCGAGCCAGACCGACACCTTCTGCCTCAGGCGCCAAACAACCCTGTCGGAGACGTGCTGATTCAACCACACCACTCTTGGCGAAGCACCTTTGCGACGACGACGCCGACGACATGGTCGATAAAGATGGCGAAGTTACGGCCTCGGCTTCTGAGGCCGGAGAGTGGCAAGATGGAGAGAGCAATCTTGATTCCGCCCTGGCCAAGAGAGTGTTGAGGAAAATCGACATGCGCTTGATTCCACTCTTGTTCGTCACTTACAACCTGAACTTCATGGACAAAACAATCCTCTCCAGCGCATCCGTATTCGGCTTGAAAGATTCCACGGTAAGTGGCCTTGAATGGCAATCTCGAGCTCTGGACGCTGACTGTTGGTAGAATCTCCACGGCACGCAGTATAGCTGGGTATCCTCGGTACGTCTGCACTTGCCCTGCAGCGGTTTCCGCGGCTGATGGTGTTGCAGGTTTTTTATTTTGGCTACCTCTTTTGGTCGTATCCGACCTCTATCCTCATTCAGCGTCTTCCTGTCGGGAAGTATGTGGCCATCAACACCTTCTTCTGGGGAGTAGTGGTAGCCCTTACCGCCGCCTGCACAAACTACGGAGGCCTGATCGCCGTCCGCTTCCTTCTCGGCGTAGCAGAGGCCACCATCTCCCCGGCCTTCCTCTACATCACCTCGTCATGGTTTACCAGAGCTGAGATCCCCACGCGCGTCGGCATCTGGTTCGCTGGCAACTCACTGGGCGGCGTGTTCGCCAGCTTCATCGCCTACGGAATCGGCCACATCTCGCACTCAATCCAGCCATGGCAATGGCTCTTCATCGTCCTCGGAGTTGCCACCTTCGTCTGGGGCGTGCCGCTGTTCTTCCTGCTACCGGACTCCATCTCCTCGGCCACCTTCCTCACCGCCGAAGAGAAGCGCTGCGCGGAGCAGCGCGTCGCCGTAGCCGGCACAGGCAAAGCCAAGCACACCTGGCAACCGTCGCAGCTGCGCGAGTGCCTCCTCGACCCCAAAACCTACTTCTTCTTCGCCATCTCGCTGCTGACGCAAATCCCCAACGGCGGGACGCAAAACTTCGGCAACCTCGTGCTCAAAGGCTTCGGCTTCACGTCGCTCCAGACGACGCTCGTCACGCTGCCGTCCTCGTTCATCGCCTTCTTCACCATCATGGGCACCGGCCGCCTCGCCGGCCGCTTCGCCAACATCGCCACCTTCCTGATCGTCGCCGTCGTGCTGTGCCCCGTCGCGGGGTCCGCCATCATCTACGCCACCGCCGTGCCGCGCGGCGTCAAGCTGTTCGGCTACTACCTGCTGTCGACCGGCCCCGGCGCCGTGCCGCTCGCCATGAGCTTGGTCGGCGTCAACTACAAGGGCAGCACGAAGAAGATGAGCATGACGGCCATTCTCTTCTGCGCGTACTGCGCCGGTAACATTGCCGGCCCACAGTTCTTCGTGGAAAGCGAGGCTCCGCATTATCCGACGGCGTTCAGGGCGATTATGATTTGCTACGCGTTGGTGGTGGGCGTGGCGATGGGGTTGAGGACGTATTTGATTTGGGAAAATAAAAGGAGAGACCAGAAGGAAGGGGTGGTGAGCGGCGATGGAGGGGCCGGGGAGGTGGTGGATGTGGAAGGGGAGAGTGAGGAGCTGACGGATTGGTCGACCAAGGGATTCAGGTACAGGATGTGAGGATCAAGACCGGTAAACTCGAACGGAGTCGCGGGTTGTGTACTTGTAATTTTAAGTCGAGAGCTTTCTCCGGATGGATTCCGGGCTTCTGGACATTTGAGGAGCAAAAGGCGGCACCTTTCCACGAGAAGGCCCAAGGCCATAGGAATTGCAGAGTCGCATCCAAACCTCAGCAAAGCTCAAGGCTCACGTCAGCTAAGGACCACTTAAAGCTATGCTGAAAGCGGCAGCCTGGTCATTGGATGTGTCGCAGCCTCGCCGCTACAACCAATGGCCAAGGTACGTATCACACAACGAGCCTGTCAGACGGTCCACAATTCCTGTGCGACGCCGCGTCACCGGGAAACGAGCCTAGCAAGGTTATACAACAGCTCCCGACCGCGCCTTGCTCAAAAAGCCAAGCTGGTTGAATGCGGTGTGGCTTGATGAGAAACGCGGGGTTTGACTTGGCACTCTACCGCCGGTTGGCGCCCTCGTCTTCCACTCTCTCCCAAGCCAGTGCTCGTGGCTTTGATTCCGTTCTTATGGGGCTTACAGGTTCTAGAATTCCCTCATTTTGAACCATCTCTGTTTCTGTCCTGAGGTTGGCTATTGAGATATTCATCTACCGGGTGTCCAACTGACAATACATTCCTGCCAGCGCCAGCGCCAATCCCTTTCAGCCAACTGCAATCGTTTCCGCCTAGTACTGTTACACAACATACCCTCGTAGTCGGATGACCTATCATAGCGCCCGGGTCCCAGAGCTGTCAATGACTTGTCGTATCAACGACGGACTGGACGCTGTGGCCTCACTTATTCCTTCATCACGAATGCTGAAAAACAAATGCTACCCGAAATAGCAATGCATGTTTCCAGCCATCCCTTCTTGGCTGCCACCCCAGTCCCTCCCCAGGTTGCCATGCACCCTTTCCGCAGGGTCACATGCAACATCATGCCGCCTTGGCCAGCTCTTGCTGCAAGCTCCGTTGCGCCGTGCTCCCAATTAGCGGATAAATGTCAAAGCAACGGAAAATAAAATCATGCCGAAGAACTACATGCAGGATCTGATCTATGCACCTCCGGCGAAAGGTGTTTCCTGGGAGTTTGTGTGAGCCACTGAGCGAGTGAGTTGGAGCTGGTTTGCTTCTATCTTTGGACAAGATAGATTTCAGAAGAGCATCTCTGGGCTTCTCCATCGATCTCACTCTGCGTAGCTACGCGGCTGAATCACTACCGCAACCATGGTTATCGCATCCCACGCCGATGGGGCGGCGGACCCTATCCTCCAGCGCATGGCCGACGAGGATAAGATGCCCTGGTACAAGAAGCCGAATATGCGCAAGCTCTACTTTCTGCTGTTTCCGACGTGCATGGGTGTCGAGATGACGTCTGGCTTCGACTCGCAGATGATCAACGCTGTACAGCTGGTCGATCCGTGGAAAGAATGTCAGTTCTACTTCCCCACAGACCCTTGGTCCCGTACCTTTGCTGACAAGGCCCCCAGACTTCAACTACCCGACAGGCTCATTGAAGGGAATCATTGCAGCTATCTACTCCCTTGGCGCCATCTGTGCTCTTCCATTCATCCCCCTCGTCAACGACCGCTACGGGCGCCGCTGGTGCATCTTCTTTGGCTCTAGTATTATGATTGTTGGTGCATTTTTGCAAGGCTTCTCCAACGGCGGTACGTGGACTTCCTCGTTGCGCTCGCTGACCCCTTCCAACTTCTGACGACGAACCTCCTGCAGTGGGGATGTATCTTGTAGCGCGCTTCCTCCTCGGCGTCGGCATCCCGTTCTGTATCGTCGCGGCCTCATCACTGATGGGCGAGCTGGGCTACCCCAAGGAGCGGCCGATCCTCACGTCCATGTTCAACGCCTGTTGGTTCGTCGGCTCCATCCTCGCGGCCGGCATCACGTTCGGCACGCAGCAGGTGCCGTCGGACTGGGCGTGGCGGATCCCGTCGCTGCTGCAAGCCGTGCCATCCGCCTTGCAAGTCAGCTGCATCTTCCTCATCCCGGAGTCGCCGCGCTTCCTCATCAGCCGCGACCGGCACGAGGAGGCGCTGGCCATCCTGGTCAAGTACCACGCCGAGGGCGACGCCCGCTCCGAGTTCGCGCACGCCGAGATGGCCGAGATCCAAGCCACGCTCAAGATCGAGCTCGAGCACAGCAAGCAGTCCTGGCTGGACCTGGCGCGCACGGCGGGCATGCGCAAGCGGGTGCTCATCTGCTCGCTGCTGGGCCTCTTCACGCAGTGGAGCGGCAACACGCTCATCAGCTACTACCTGGACGACCTGCTCACGCTCATGGGCTTCCGCGACCCGCAGTTCAAGGGCAAGCTCAACGTGGGGCTCACGTGCTGGCAGTTCGTCAACGGCATGGCCGCCGCCGTCGTCGTCAAGCGCTTCCGCCGCCGCGCCATGTACATGGCGTGCACGCTGTCCCTGCTCTGCGTCTACGTCGGCTGGACCGTCTCCATGGAGCGCTTCCTCAGCACCTCGTCCGTCGGCGCCGCCCGCCTGACCATCTTCTTCATCTTCCTCTACTCGCCCGCGTACAACATCGGCTACAACGCCCTGACCTACACCTACCTCGTCGAGTTGTTCCCCTACGCGCAGCGCGCCAGCGGTCTGTCTGTGTTCCAGTTCTGGGGCCGGGGCGCTGGCTTCTTCACGACCTTTGTGAATCCCATCGGGTTGGAGGAGATCAAGTGGAGGTGGTTGTTGGTGTATTGCTGTTGGATAGCATTCGAAATCGTGGTTGTGTACGTCTTGTTTCCTGAAACCAGTGGGAGGACACTGGAGGAGCTGGCGTTCTGTAAGTCTCCAACTACCCCCCGTTTGTCTCAAGTTGCCTTGATGCTGACAGGCTGCAGTGTTCGAGGACAAGCAACTCGCAGACGAAACAACCGCAGCAGTGGAAAAGCAAATCCATCACGAGGACATGCCAACGAAAGACGGGAAGATCAACCACGTCGAGACGGCTCGAGCGGCCTGAAAGTGGAAGAAGATGGACGTCACTGTTTCACCGTGGATGTTTGCAGAGTCTTCGCGTTGAATGTAGTAGCCCTGCGGCGGGGAAATGGTATCTTGATATGAACAAACCCACGCTTTTAGTCGAAAGTGATCTTTTTGCCCTGGAACTGCACGTTTACGAGCTTCGCCTTCTCCTTGGCCAGCTTCGCAGCCTCCCAACTGGGATGAAGTTTGCCACCGTCATCCCTGTGATTCTTCTTCTTGCCCAACTCCACCAAGTTTGCATCCGAAGCCTGAGGGCCACGGCCGCCAGAACTGAAGCCTCCCTTGTCTCTTCCGAACTTGCCCTTCTTCCCCCTGCCACCCGCACCGTCGACCGCGCCGCGCTTCGCATCCCATCCGGCATTCCTGTCTTTCTTTTGCTTTTCGTTCTGCTTGGCCAAGTGCTTTGCGCCCTTGCCAAACTTCTTCTCCCACAGCTGCTGTCTGGCACGCTGGCCACGCCGGTTCTTCTTCTGGGGCGCGATTTGCTCATCCAGATCCTCAGCCTCGGAATCCGACCCGCTGATGTAACCAACAGCCGAAAGCGAAGGGAGGAAGGTGGACTTATTCGCCACGACCGGCGCTTTCTCTTTCTCTTTCTCTTTCGACTTCGCCTTCGCATCCGGTTCCGGAGACTCGTCCTCTTCCTCGTCCGAAAAAGTCGGTTCGGACGACGCCGACGGCGACGCCTCGCGCGACGACGGAGGCGTGAAGGACAAGTCACGGACGGGCTGGTAAGGCCCCTTCTGTAGCCTAACCTCCACGCCTTCTTCCTCCGACTCCTCGTCCGAAGACGCCGCTATGCGGTCAGAGAAACCCGCAAACTCCTCGCTGTCCCACTCCCCCTCCCCCTCTGCCGCACTGGCTTCCGACTCGTCGTCGTCGTCGTCTGCAGACTCGACCTCCTCCTCAACCTTCGCCGCCGCCGCCGCCGCCTTCTTCCCCCTCCCAGCCTTCTCCTCCCCCTCCCCCCTCCCCTTCTTCATCTCCTTCTTCCGCAGCGATCCCCCATCATCCAGCCCCAAAATGGCCCTCACATCCCTCACCACCTCCGCCATCGCCTCCTTCGTCGGCCCCGCATTAAACAACCTCGCCTGCACATTCATCGCCTCCTTCCCCATCCCCCCCGCCTGCCGCGCCGCCGCCGCCGCCTCCTCCCCACCCTCCTTCCCCCCCTCCTCCACCTTCTTCTTCATCACCCCCGCCCCCTCGGCCCCCTCCACCACCACCACCCACGGCGGCAACGCCCCGTGCTCCCTCACGCTCTTGATCCGCAACAACGTCTTGTACAGGTGCCTCTCCGCGAGCTTCGCGTAGTCGATGCGCTTCAGCGCCTCGATCTCGCCGTCGATCCGCTTTATTGCCACGGCGGCGGCGTCGTCATTGCCGTCGCCTTCGTTCTTACTGTTGTTCTTATCCGTCGCGGCCTTGCGCCGGCGCGACAGCTTCTGGCGCTCGAAGCCGCGCGCGACCTTGAGCGCCTTGGTGAGCTGTTTCTTGGCTTGCTCGAGGCGCGGGGGCAGCTGCTTGCGTTGTTTGGCTGTTGATGGGGAGGAGGAGGAGGTGGTGGTGGTGGTGGCGTTCTTCTTATTCTTTTTCGTCGTCCTCGTCGCGGTTTGGTGGTGGGCTGAGTCGGAGCCGGAGCCGGAGCCGGAGGAGGAGGAGTTGAGGTTCGAGGCCGAGGGCTCGTCGCTGCGCTTTCGTTTGGGCATTGCTGGGTGAGGTTGCCGCACGGATATATCTAGGGGTGAGGTGGGCAGGCGAGAGGTCGATGTGTCGCTTCAAAAAGCCTGAGGGACCGTGGTGTGGGGCGGCGGAAGAGGTAAACGAACTTTTGCTGGGTGGAGGAAGAAGATGTTGGAGCTTTTGCGCGCGGGAAAGTTTTGGGAAACCCGAGTCAGACGCCTAGTCGGGGTCCGGGCTAGCGAGTCAGTCAGTCACCTGCAGGCGTGTGATGATGCGGCTGCCACTTGATCATTTCTGAGCATCGGGTGGATGAATCTTTTGGAGAAAAGATAGAGTGTAAGATGCCCAAAGTATGTGGTTCTCCTATATTGAATCCCTGATAATCTACAAATCCACCTTGCCGCCCTATTTGCTCTCATGCGGCACCGAAACCCCTGCTATTCTCTAACGCAATTGCCAGCTTCTTCTCCAGCTTCTCCTTCCCGTCGTACTCCGGCAAGAGCAGTCGTCCGAAACAGGTACTGCTGGTCGGTAGCCCCTCGCCATCAGGCCCGTTCCTTTGCACCCAGAAGACCACGCTTTCGACTCCAGCTACGGGCACGCGATCGCTCGCCGTCACGAACTCCAGAAGTTTCCGCTTCTGTTCCTGGCTCATCGCGTGCACAACCTCCCAGAACGTGCGCACGAAGGGATGTTGTGCGTCGAAGCCGCCGTCGTAGCGGGCCACGCGTTCGAGGGCGTGCGTGTCGATTTCGGTGCTTCCTTCGACAATGTGTTGCAGGAGCGAGGGGCGAAGCAATTGCAGGTGATCTTCCGGGATGCACCTGTGGAAACCACGGGCGAAAGCCTCATACTGAGGGCGAATGGACTTGTCGGTAAGCCAAGCAACGTAGTCGCACACGAACCTCTCTCGGTTGGCATTCGTCACGAGCGGTGCTTCGGTGCCTGGTGGCCAGTTGACTATGGGAGTTGGATTCGAGGTAGAGGGGGTAACGTCGAGCTCGGAGTCGTCAAGCATGGTGTACGGCGAGGGCACATCGAACTCAGATTTCACCGCATCCATGTTGATGTTGACGATGAGACCACGTGCTTCAAAGCTGAACTCGTAGCCGCGGCTGAGGATGTCACCAACGTCGTCTTCGCAGCTCAGGAGGAATTGAAAGCTCTTGACAAGATCGGGCCATCCTTCGCTGATATGATGAGGCCGAACTGTCTTGCCGATGAGCTTTAGGTAAAGCGCCCCGGGAAGAGTGACAGGCAGGGTGATCCCGTTGTATATGGCGATTGAGAAGAGCAGACCAATGAGCTCGAACCTTGACAATGGCTCCAAGGAAAATGGCTGGAACCATGTAACATGTGTCACAGGATCAACTGTGAACATGCCTTTGATTTCCAAGTTAGTGTCGTGGCCTGCGCGCGGTGAAGGTGCGCACTTACCGTTGTCGGGATTGAACGCTTCAGCAAGAGCAACCCGGAAGAATTCTTGCGCTACACCTCCTTGGTCAACACCCTGCTCGCCCTCCAGTTTCCCCACTCGTACTTTGAGTGGTAGTAGAAGCTGGCGTTTCTCCAGCCCCCATAGTTGGTCGAATGTGTCTTCCAATACGTGACTGCGTCGTACATCCAAGGACAAATATCTATTAGATGCGGTTCCGTAGTGTTGATCAAGATAGTTCCGCCACTGATCACTTAAGAAATGCCGGCTGAACCTATCCTGAAGGTGGTAGTTGTTCCCAGCAGTGGTATAGTGTTTTGACATGACGGAGAAGTTGAGAGCGCGGAAGTATTGGACTATAAGCCCACTCGGAAAGAAAAAAGGAAAGTATAGGATGTGGAGATAGTTTGGATCGTTCTTGCGGCCCAGGTAGCTGTTGATGAGTTCCGTCGTATCCAGCTTGTATTTGAAATATGCGAGCTCGTACATGTGGCGGTGGATGTTGAGATTCGAATAGTCGTAAAGGTCGCTAAGTATTTCGGCAGCTGCTCCAGTCGCATCCCAACGTTTGAGTTCGTGCTGCCCGGTCCAGTTTTTCATGACGATGGTCTTCAACCATTCCACAAATGTACCGGCAATCGTCCAGTTCGACCAAGTATCCATCACTCTTTCCTCATCCCATTTGGCTCGGAATAGCCCCACACGCCGGTACCTTTCGCAGTCGACCAAATGCTTACAGACGATGGTCATTGCCCACTCGGACTTTTTGGGTGGCTCCGTGGACGTCTTTTTCAACATCTCGAAGAAGCATCGCCGAGCACCTATAGCTCTGACCAGGCGAGTGGCAAGGCGAAGCGCCGGCTCGTACTCCAGCTGATCCGTGATCATGAGCCACATTGGCGTATACGGCACGGTGGTTTGGTTATCAGCTAGATTTGGAGTGTCGTTGGGAGATATCCACCCAAATGGCCGCAGACCTCGCACAAACTTCCACGCGTTGGGCTTCCCTCTGGTCACGAGAGAAGTCAATGCGTGTATGCAGACCATGATGATGTGGGCGGCTTCTTCATCGGATACATAGTCTGACTGGCCGTGGTTTCGTCCCTTTGGCATATCATCTGGAGCATGCCTCTTCGTCCTTGACGATTTTCTGATCTTGAGCTCAGGGGGCGGCGTGAATAGGCATTCCAAGCTATACCACAAGCTGTCATAGATAAGAGATCCGTTAATGGACTGCCAAGACCTGAACGCGTGCTCCATTTCCCACGCATCCAGATGCGCGAGAGGCGTGGGGCGACGCGTCCATGCTGTGGTCTTTTCACGGAAAGACTTGAGAAGAATATGTGGATTGCTGAGGCACCGGAAGAGGCACTCGTCAACGATGCGCCAGCTTTTCTTTGCCCCGGAATTCAGTAATGAGCTTGTCGGTTCGATGATGGCATCTCTCGTTCGCGTGTCGGGAATGGATCCATCCGACATGGCAATCCGCTTCAGATCCTCCATGATGGCGCAAGTCAAATGAGTTGTGGCAAAGACTGTTTTGCTTGACTGAGACCGTGGCTTTGAAAGCGAATCGGCTCCTAAGGGGACCCGGACTTTGCGTGTAGATGGCTTGGTCGATGAGTCCCGTTGCTTCCGCGCTGCGCGAGGTGTCGATTTGACTGCCTTGTCGGAACCAGCGAAGGGACTACCGTCTAGTGTGATGTCACTGGGCGGTGTCAAGAGTGCATTCTCTTTTCCACTGTCTGAATCGCCATCTATCGACTGTGTTGCAGATGCGGTCAGACTATCTCGGCCCGGCTCAGGTAGCGTTCCGGTTGCATGAACAACGGCGCTTCCATTGGCGGCTTTCGATTCATGCTTGACCGCCGCGTCGCCATTGGTCGTTGGCGGCGGGCCGACAGCAAGTCTTTCTAAGTGGCTTTCAAGTGCAGGCACAGGGTCGACTGTCCTGGACTCCGGCTCAGCTTCCGGCAAGTCTTTCCTGACCTCATCCAATGGAGTGCTCCCTGCTGCATCTTTGATCTCGCTTTGTTCTTCCGAAGAGTGAGAGACCCTGAGCGTTCGCGAAACTCGGGTGTTGAATAAGTTCTGCGACAATGATCGCGAGTCGACCTTGAAGCGCACGGGATCCTTGGCTTCGATGCCGAACTCGGCGGTGTTCGTGAGGCGGAAGGTCGAGTGTGTTGGCTTGCATAGTCCGCTGGCTGGGTCGTCCTGGCTGGCGAGATGATATGCCAATGCTCGTGCAGTAAGAGGGGACGGGCGGCGGACGGGCTTGTCCGTAGCGCGCTTGACGCAGCTGAAGCAGGTGGGCGTGGTGCAGTCGGCGTTGTCGCATCCGTAGCGGATCTGCACCATGTATCTACACGACATCAGCAGACGGCGTGACAGGTGGAGCTAAAAGCACGCACCGGCGGACCAGATACTCAAAGCTGGTCATGCGCGCTCGGAGGGCGCCGGCCATGCTATCCCCCTCTGCGTCTACGGCTGCGCTGTTTTCGAGAACGCGCGCCCAGGCATCTCTCAACTTCGGGGTAGGCTGCGGTGGATGGGCCATGGCGGTGGAGGGAGCAGCCCCTCGTGTGTCGCTCGTCATCTCATCGGGTCAGGACGCAGGGGACGCAGGGGACGCAGGGCAGACGTGCTGTGGCCGGAGCGTTGGATGGCAGCGGCGTGGACGATGCGGGCGAAGGCGGAGGTGGAGGCTGGCGTCGGGCGGATGTTACAGAGGTCACAAAGCACGCAGCAGGCGAGGCGAGATGCGGCATGTCGGGGGGCTAGGCGAGGGCGGGCGGCGGAGGCGTGAGGCTGCTAGCAGTCCATGGCAGACTGCGGCGTGCTGTTGATGGCCAGAGAGGCTGAAGGTCGAGCCCCGAGTCCACGGATGCACGCGCTGAGGCACAAGATGGAGGCGCTGTGTCAGCAGGCGGGCAATCGGCATACCCTGCATGAGCCTAGACGTCATTCGCACCCGCTGCCAAACGTCAGCCCTACCGTCCGTCGAAATTCCTCGCGCCGTGCGCCGTGCGTTGGTAAGCCGATCCAAGAACCACTTGCCACAAGCCCGCCCGCCGGTCCCTTCTTTACAACCTCGCCCGCTGCTGTTGCACCACACAGCCTCCCCTCCCGGCCCGCCATCCTTCCCCGCCTGTCCTTCTCCTCGAGGCCCGAGCTAGCGCTGCTGCCAATCTCCCGCCAACCGATTGAGACCCACTGCCACCGAGCGGCCCCGACGCAAGCCGTTATCTTCACCACCAACTTTTCCTTGCTGCACCACAACGCCTCGAGAACTGCCCAGCCGGCTCCAAGCACCATGGCGACCCAAGCTTCGCACCCCTTCACCTGCAACACCTGCCAGGTGGCGTTCCGCGCCAGCGAGCTGCAGCGCGCCCACATGCAGACCGACTGGCAGTGAGTCCATTCCCACCTGTTCAAGCCGAGGCGAACGGCGGCAATGATGCTAAGAAGTCTTGTCCAAACCTAGTCGCTACAACCTGAAGCGTCGTGTCGCCTCTCTCCCTCCGCTCTCTTCCGAGATCTTCGCCGAAAAGGTCCTCGCGAACAAGGCTTCGGCCGCCGCCACCGCTGCGCGAGCCCAGTTCGAAAAAGCCTGCGACGCTTGCCAGAAGTCGTACTTCAGCGAAAACGCTTACAACAACCACTTGAACAGCCAGAAGCACAAGCAGAATGTTCTGGCGAGGCAGAAGGCGGCGCGTTCCGGCGCCAAGGAGGACGATGCCACTTCGGTCATGAGCTCGACTTTCTCGCTCGGAGAGCCCATCGAGACCGCATCGACTGGCGCCGCCGATAAGGAGGCGGAAGCCGAGTTTTCCAGGGTTGTTGATGGCATGGAGAAGGCTACTTTGGAAGATGGAGACCCTATTTCGCGCCGGCCCACCCGCCCCCACCACTCCGAGGCAAACTCTGAGCAAGGAGACGTTCAGTCGAGAGCTGCCTCTACCGCGGATTCGGCCAAGGGCGAAGTGCCTGACCAGATCCTCGACTGCCTTTTCTGCAACTATCGCTCCCCCTCTCGCGATCTGAACATCTCCCACATGCAGCGCTTCCACAGTCTCTTCATTCCTGAGCCCGACTACTTGGTTGATTTGGATGGACTCCTCAAGCATTTGTGGAGGAAGGTTCATGAGTACTACCAGTGCTTGTACTGCAACAAACTGGTGTATACCGCAGCGGGCATCCAGACGCACATGCGTGATACGGGCCACTGCAAGATCGCCTACGATTCCGAGGACGAGATGCTCGAGCTCGGCGAGTTTTATGACTTCACGCGCACATACTCCGACGACGGCGAGGGCTCCGACACCGAAGGCGAAGGCGACGGCCAGGATGACGGCTGGGAAACCGATTCCAGCGTGTCGGACGTTCCCACCGACGAGATCACTTCGGTTCCCATTGACGACCGCTCGGAACTCTACGCCAAGCTCGGTCAGCACAAGCACCACTCGCACACCGACCCGCGCCCGCACAAGGCCGCCGATGGCTATCACGCCCACACCCACACCGCTCCCCGCGCCGTGTACCGCGACGAGTACGAGCTCCACCTGCCTACCGGCCGTACCGCCGGTCACCGTTCTCTACGCACCTACTACCGCCAGAACCTCCGCAACTACCCCTCTGCTACCGAGCGCGCCGAGCAGCTCGCCATCGAGGAGGCACAGGCCTTGCGCCGTGGCGGCTCCGACGACGAGGACGACGGTGGCGTCGAGCTCGACGCTGGCGAACGCGGCCGTGGCGATGATCGCGGTCGTGGCAGGCAGGTGATCACTCGCGCGAACGGCGGATCGGGTATGATCGGGGTCAGCGATATCAAGAAGAGGGAGGTCCGCGTGGCAGAGAAGAGAGGAGCGAAGCGCGCGCAGCGCGACCAAGCGAAGGGGGAATGGATCAAGAACAAGAAGGGCAACAACCAGAAGCACTTCAGGGTCAGTTTCTCCTACAATAACGTCAAACGTCACGTGAACGTGAATGCTAACATCCGACCAGGACCCTCTTCTGCAGTGATCGCGCTCGGGAGTGCTTCCACTTTCATTCGGCGTCTGTCTTTTTCACGGAGTGCTTGGACGATTTTCATTTTGCACATCATGCATCGGGTGAATTGCCTTTATTCTTGTGCATAAGAAGGGCCCGGGGGTTTTCTGACTCTTGGTAAGGTATGGAAGATGGCGGGAATACTTGTTATAGCCGCTACAGCGTAAAACAAAATAGAGGAACGAAAAATTTCTGGTACGAGCTTCTACTTCAACGCATTTCCCGTAATATCTTGCGGTGAGATCATTTGCGTAAGGGTTTTGGGTGGAGCGTCACAATAGTTTCAAAGTGATCATGTACACGAGAAACAAGCCGGCAAAGCTGTAGCTGCCTATACTGCCTTCTCTAAGGGGGAGCGGAGTACTATGGAAACCGCAGAGATGCTAGATCTCGAGGAGTTTGATTTGTAAGCTCTCAACGCTCACACCGGGGCGACTTCATCAATTCGATACCGCGGAGCTACCTTGACTAGAGACAGTGGCCTGGGCCTCCCTCTCGCTTTGGTATTGACTATCCCACATCTCTACCTATGCCTGTACCTTACAAAGTATCTCTATTCGTCTCGCAAGACTGTATGGTGTTGTTTCGTTCATGCCATTCCCTCACTCCCCTCACCAAATACTGTGAACTAGAACATGCGCAATATAGGTTCGCCTTCGACACTGCTATCATTGGGCTTGCTCAACTTTTCCTATCTGTTCCACCCAGCTACGCTCATCTCTAATATGTCATACCCCTCGCTCTTACTCACCATCTCGCGCTTGATCATCTATTTGAAACCCAGCCGAGATTTGACATGATGCAAATGGGCAACTTTGGAAGAACATGGACAGTGAGTGCACTATCTTCTCCACCATGTCACAACAAGATGACGAACAGTAAATTGCCATATGCACATGAACAATCAACGGGCTAGCTCCGTTCGAAAAAAAGAACCCGTCGTCACTCTATCACGACCTCATCCAACATGACATCACATATATACAAACATATATACACATACATACAACCCACTCAAAGCTTCCCCCAAACCGCCGCCAACTGATCCACCTCATCCCCGGCCCGGCCCGCAAACCCAACCAACCCAAACCCGCTCGGCGCCTCATACGTGACGCAATCGCTCGTCTCCGTGCCGGCCGCGACCGTCCTCCCACTCGTCGTGCTCGCCTGCGCGTAAAAGATGCGCGTATGGTTCTCATACTTATCCTGGCACAGCTTCAGGCCGTTGACGCTCTCACCGCTCTCCAGCACCAGCGACTGCGGGGTGCCGCCGGCGCCGCCGTGGGCGAGGGCGGTGCCGTCGGTGAGGTTGAGGGCGATGCTGTCGAGGCGGTTGGCGCCGGCGAGGGTGAGGGTGGCGCCGGCGGGGGGAGGCGCGGCGGGCAGGGCGCCGCCGGTGGCGGCGTCGTTGAACCACGTGCCGTGGGGCCCGCCCCAGTAGCCCGACTGGCGGAGCGAGGCGTCGGCGACGGACCAGTCGAGGGAGACGAGGATGGGGTTGTGGTCGGAGAGGATGGAGCCGTTGGCTTGGAGGAAGTCGGGGGAGGCGTAGGAGAAGTCGGTGGCGGAGAGGGAGAGGAGGCGCGAGCCGCGGTAGAAGAGCTTGTCGACCGTCTCGCAGGCGTCCGTGGTCGAGGGGTTGGCGCAGAGGAGTTCTTCCGAGGGCGGGGTGCCCGCGTGCTCGAGCTCGACCCAGGCGTCGGTGAGGCCGTTTTGGGTGGTGAAGAGGGCGATGTTGTCGGCCACGCGCGTGTAGCGCGAGTTGGTGTCGCCGAAGACGAGGACGGCGTTGCCGGCAGAGTAGGCGTCGATGTGGTCGGCGACTTGCTTGACGTTGGCCGTGCGGGCGGCTTCGTCGTCGTCTTCGATGCTGTGGGTGGAGGCCATGTTAGTTGTTGTATCGAAGTGGGTGCATGGAGAAGAAATGCACATACCCAGCATCCGTGTGCAAGTTGTAGACGTCAATCCAAACACCTTCATCGACCTTGGCGCGCATGAAGGTGAAGCCCTTGGGAGTCAGGCAATCGGCGCCAGAGGCACTGGAGCATGTAGCCCACTTGATGCGTTCGAAATCTATCCAGTCGAAGTTGGACAGGGTGTTCAAGCCGGAGCCGAAGGGAACACCGCCGCTGGTTGCGGTCCGGTAGGGGTGGGTGTCGTACTCGTACAGAGTTGCGTGGTAGTTGAAGTCTTCCTGGACGTGGATGATGTCGTAGCCCAACTCGGAAAACTTGGTGCCAATGGAGGCCGTGTTTGTCGTCTTGTCGCCGGGCACATCATTGCCCTGCAGGATTGCGGGGAGGCCGGCGACATTCATGGCGAGAGCGGTCAACGAGCCGCTGGTGGCAGCCATTGCAGCCGGAATGGCGGCCGAGGCCACGAGAGCGATTGATCGGGCGGGGGCCATTGCGATGCTGGAGATGGTGGAGCTGGTGGAAAGGAGCGACTGGTGGTGTTTCGGGTTCCGGCGGCCATGGTCCTTATATCCTGGATGCCAATGTTTGTAGGCGAGCTTCCAGCATGCGTCCGATGGTGCCTGCCTATTTTAGGACAAGTTTGGGGAGAGTTGGCTCGCCAAGGCTGGGTTTGGTCGTGTTGCGGCCATTGGGATCTCCATGTGTCCCCGTCTCGCCGGGAATGCCGGTAGAATCAGGCGCTGATTGTCAGGGGTGGCGGCAGGTTGACGACGTCGAGCCAATGGCAAGCGAGGCGTGTTGCGCGAATCGCGGCCAAACGACCTCGTTATGCGCAGCCGACTCACCCAATGCCGCGAAAAGGCAGGCGTAACTGCATGTGGGTAGTCGACGTACTATGCTCGGGCAGCAGCTCCGACTACGGATGCGAACTATCATGACACGGTAAGCGAGGGAAACATGGTGGGATGCTGGACAGCCTGGAAGGGATAGGGGCGGCGTGGTCTGGACGACGACGCGTGTTCGACAATGCGACAATGCGATGCTGCAGGGCGGGCCGACGCGTGCGAGGGACGGGAGCCGCGGAGCCGTCGAAAAAAAGAGCGGGCCACCGGGCCTGCCTGGCGCTGGGGTCGGAGCAATCGCAACGCCCAGCATGACGAACAAGCTATGTAACCACCATGCCCAGCCAATCGTCACCGCTTGCGCCAAAACGCTCGCTGCGAAATGAGAGGCGCAGGCGCATGGCGTCGCAGCATGCCGGCCGCTAACTGCATGCTGTGTAGCCGCGCTCTGGACCGCTGGCTAGGTCTGGAAGGAGCAACGCCGCAGTTGACACCTGCCCACGTGACCGGCAGCCGGCAAATCACAGCACCACAAACAGTGACATGGCGTCATCTGCCACCGTCCGAAGCCAAGCTCAAGCAAGCTTCCTGCCAAGTTTTGCGGAGGACCTGCACTACCACCTGCCAGCCTGTTTTTTTTATTTTCCCTTGCCCCCTTTGTTTATCTATACAAAGGGCGCCATCCCAGCTACCTTGCAGGTTGCCAGCCCTCTTGCCTTCCCCACGCGTCGCTGTCGCACGCGCCCCCCGTGCCGCTTCCCTTGCTTTGAGCTGCTGCTTAAAGCTCTCACGCAGCACTCTCGTCCCACAGCTTCTCGCTCCACAAACATGCCGTTCTTCAAACGCCAACGCCCGTCAACTACTTCCGATGACCACGCCACCACCAGCACGGCGCCAGTCTCCCACAATGGCCACCACGATCACCACGATCACCACGCTGGAAAGCACGCTTGGTCCACTGATGGCTCGTTAAACAAGAGGCCTTCGTTCGGCCAGTGGTTGAAGATGACTTGGTATGTCCATGGTCTCAGCCGCTTCAAGCATCATCTAACCTATTTCAGGCCTGACATCCTCACCATGGTCTGCATGGGTGCTATCGGTCTCGGTGTCTACGAGGCGCATCCTGCTCCTTCCCGATCGTTCCCTGTCTACTTTGAGAATGGCGAGATTGTATACCCTCAGTTTGCCTATCCGCTGCGCCATGAGGTCGTCCCCATCTGGGCCGCCGCCCTTCTCGCCGTCCTGGTACCCATTGCCGTCTTCCTCATCATGCAGATCCGCATCCGCAGCTTTTGGGACCTCAACAATGCCACCATCGGCCTGCTTTACTCCGTCATCACCGCCGCCGTCTTCCAAGTCGTGAGTGTAGACCATTTCACACTGATGAAGTGCGAGCGAATTGCTAACCGCGCGCCTCGACAGTTCCTCAAATGGCTAATCGGCGGCCTCCGCCCTCACTTCCTCGACGTCTGCAAGCCCGCCGTCCCGCTCAACGGGCTCAACACGGGCAACGGCCTGCGCAACATCATGTACGACCGCAGCATCTGCACGGGCGACCCGGACGAGATCGACGACAGCCTCGAGTCCTTCCCCTCGGGCCACACGACGGCCGCCTTCGGCGGCTTCGTCTACCTCTCGCTCTACCTCAACGCCAAGCTCAAGGTGGCCGCAAACTACCACCCGGCCATGTGGAAGCTCATCGCCACCATGGCTCCCTTGCTTGGCGCCACCCTCATCGGCGGCGCCCTGACCATCGACGAGTACCACAACTGGTACGACATCATCGCCGGCGCCGTCATCGGCACCATGATGTCCTTTGTGAGCTACCGCATGGGTAAGACGGTTCCCCCCTAGCCCCATTCCCTCCTCACTGATAAACAACACACCCCCACTAACATAAAAAAAAGTCTACGCATCCACCTGGGACTTCCGCTTCAACCACATCCCCCTCCGCCGCGAAGTCCCCTTCACCTACGGCGGGGGCCCCTCCTCCGACCTCTTCGCCGGCTTCCACGACACCATGTGGACGCGCCAGGTGGGCTGGGGCGCGCCCGAAGCCTGGTCGAGCTACGGCGGCGCCCCCTTTGACGCCAGCGCCGTCGGCGGCCTCGGTGGCGGCGCCTCTGGTCTGACGGGCGCTGGCAACATGCACAATGGCCACGGTCACGGCCACGGCCACGGTCACGGATACCCTACCGGCAGTACGGCGACGAGGCACAGCGTCGATAGGAGGCCCGTCCCGCCGTCCAAGGATAGGTCGGAAGGCGCGGCGCCGGAGCACATGGTATGATGGACGGAGGCGGGCTTTGGACCAGATGCCAGATGTTGTCTCACATTGTCTACTCTCCTCCCTGGTTCCTCTGATATTTGTCACCCCATCCGATATCGAAATGGGAGACCAGAAAAGGAAGCGAGGATGGGATAGATGATGTTGTGTAAGAACACTGCAGCGACGACTGTTATAGCGAAAGAATGATTACGGTTAACCTTCTAATGAAATGGGGCGGGGAGGGAAATGGGTGGGGAGGAGGATATGATGAATTAATGGGTGATTGAAAGAAGCGGAGGTAATAAGGACGAGAGCAAGGAGCAAGATGGGGGATTCCTGTAGTTGGTAGCATGAGGTAGATAGCGTCTCCCTCCTCCCCTTCCTAGAATAATCAAACGAAAGTGGGCAGACCTCATTCACATCCCTACTGAGCAAGAGCACACCTCATTATTCACGATACTGATATTCATCGAAGTGAAAAATGACATGTCAACCAAAGGCTCGTGCGTTCTGCGTAAGTGCTCGCTCTGCCAAACCAAAACTACACGAACTGTGGGTATCAAGCGCTGAAGAACGGAAGCGAGTTCATCAACAACCTCCCCCATGCAAAATTAGTAGATGGAAAGGAAAGAGGGCGAAAAGTCCACGATTGGAAAAAAGCAAGGAAGAGAGAAACTCCCCCAACCCGTGAGCAATTGACCCCGACACAAGAAGCAATCCAGAGCCGCTTGTGATTGAAAATAGCCTTGCGGAAAACCCGACACCCCAGAAAAAAAAACCCTGACCCCGACCTTTCCGAGGAGAACAAGCCAAAATGAAATAGCAAAGTAAAATAAGAGATCTCCTTCGTTTTCATCGTCCATCACTCGTTTTCATCCCTGGTCATCCTTTCGTTTGTTTGTCCGTAACGTCGCGGCATTAATCTCGAGACCGACCATTGCATCCCTCGCCGACTGAGCCGTTCGAGGCGCAAGCGCTCATGAGTCGGCTGCGGCGGGCTGGACGGTGGCGGTCACCGAGGATTTTCTTGGGGAAAATCCGCTTCGAATGTAACCGGAAACATCTTGGTTGTGTGAAATCAACTCCTCGTTGAGCTGACCCAGTTGACGAACCTGTTCACGGATACCTGCCATCTTCACGAATACCTCCAGTTAGCCACTATCTCACAGGGTGAAAGCTGACCAATAAGCCGTCGAAGGCTTGGTCTTTTGATTACGCACCTGGCCGCTGGTCGACTTGTCGTTACCAGACTCATCTCTGTCCACCTCGACAGAGGTCTTGTATTGTGGGGGAGCGCCGCCGTTCTGGCGGTAGGTGGAAATCTCCGTCTCAAGCTCAATCAGGCGCTGCTTGTAAGCTTCGCACTCGCGGATGAGCTCAGCAACACGAGGGCTTTCGCGGGTTCCGGCGACCTCAACTTGGAGCTTGTCGATCTCGGCGTTGAGACGATCAATCTCAGTCTCAGCGCGCTTGATCTCGGAGAACTGGTCGTTGATCTCGGCCTTGGCGACATCGAGCAGGTCAGTGAGCTTGCGGACCGTGGTTTCCTTGGTCTTCTCCATCTCAGCCTTGACCTGCTCTACGCGAGAGGCGGCTTCCACTTCAAGCTTGGACCTCTCCTCCTTAAGAGCATCCTCGAGCGCTTGTTTGTAGAGCTTGTCAGTCTCGTTGTGCTCCTTCTTGACGCGAGCAATTTCTGCCTCGAGCGACTGCCTCATGTTGTCCGAATCATCATGAAGCTTCTGCTCGATGGCAGCCTTCTCTTGTTCGAAAATCTGCTCAAGCGTCTGCTCCATCGAGGAACGTTCCTTGGCATGTTCCGACCAGAGCTTTTCAAGCAGTTGGTCATGCTCAGCGCGGCTAGAATCATGCCGTTAGCCCTCAGTTACAAACTTTCCATGGAAAAACTTACTTCTGTTCGACCTCCGTCTTAAGCTGCTCGAGCTCAGTCATCTTCTGCTTGAGCATCGCCTCCTTCGCATTCAAATCATGCTCGAGTCTCTCGTTCGCATCAGTCAGCTGCTGGTTGAGGGTCTTGAGCCTGACGATTTCGTTCTCCAGCTCGACACGGACACGACCAAGTTCATGCTCGAGCTCGCGCTTCATCTTCTCCAGACCGGAGGCGTGGTGGCCATCGCGCTCTTCGTGAGCCTCGTCAAGAGCCCTCAAGGTTTGCATGAGGCCATCGACCTGGCGAGACTTCTCTTCAAGTTCCATGGTCTTCTCATCAAGCTCGTGCTTCATTGCCTTGTAGTCATCAACCTTCGGCATGGCATCGTCAATGGACTGGCGACGAGCGGCAAGCTCTTGGTTCATGCGTGACATTTCAGCGTCCTTCTCTGCAATCTTGTCGGCCATGCGGTACTCGGCGTCAGCAATCTTGTCCTGAAGAGACTTGACAACCTTGGCGTGCTCCTTGTCAATGACCTTGAGCCTGTCGTGAGACTCGTTGAGTTGGCGCTCAGCCTCGTCAAGGGCACCCTGGAGCTCCTCGACTTCCTCGTGGAGCCTGTCGATCTCCTCGTGAAGCTCGGGGATGTGGCGTCCGTCTTCCTCGTTGGCTTGGCGGGCGGCGAAGAGCTGCTTCTCAATGACCTCCTTCTCCTCGGCAAGGCCGGTGATGCGGCTTTCGAGCTTCTTGGTGCGGTCCTCGAACTCCTGGCGGACCTCGAAGACATCGGGACCCTTGACAGCAGATTCAAGCTCAAGGTGCAAGTTGTCGACGGTTTGACGCAGAGTCTCGATCTCCTGGTCACGGTTTTGCAGGGTCTGGGCGCCTTCGTCAAGCTGGCCGTTGTAGACACGCACAAGCTCCTGGACTTGCTCCTCGTACTCCTTCTGGACGGCCTTGGCGGCGCTCTGGTGGAAGTCGATGGTAGCAAGAGCGTTCTGGGTCTCGGCCTTCTTGACCTCCAGCTCCTGGGCAACAGACTCGATCCTGCTGCAGAGCTCGGTGATCTGGTTCGCCTTCGCATCCAGCTCGCTGGTGAGACCATCGACCTCGTCGGCACGCTGCTGCTCAAGCTCCTTGACCCGGTTCTGAAGGTTCGCCATGATGTCGTCGTGGCCAATTTCACCCTGGTGTTCGTTGCTTATTTGATCGCGCAGCTCCTTAACAGTCTCCCTGGCGTCCTGAAGAGCTTCGTCCTTGACGTCGGTCTCATCCTCAACGTGAGCCTTCTCGGCCATGAGCTCGGCGATCTCATCGGTCAAGCTGTGCAGGCTCTGCTTTCTAGTGCTAATGCGAGCGGATGAAGCAATCTTCTGGAGACCAACAACGTACTCGTCCTGGAGCTTCTCGACGACCTCGGCGTGCTCCTGAGTAGACCTCTGGAGACGCTGGAGGATGAATTCGTAGTCATCACGACTCTTCTCAATAGCAATAGCGTGAGTCTGGGCAGCATCCTGGGCACGGGCAACCATCTCTGCCTTTTCATCCTCAAGCTCGGCGCACTCTATCCTAAGCCTCTCAACCTCGGCCACGAGATCGGAGCTCTTGTCCGAGGTGTTCTGCTGCAGGCTGATGACCTTTTCTTGGAGGGCGGCGATGGTAGACTGCATCGAGGTTTTGTCATCCTCGAGCTCCTGGATGCGTTGAGTGAGATCTTCAGTGTCCTCGTTGACACCGCGAGAGCCATCAGCCTGCTCCTGTTGGACGGAGGAGATCTTGTCCTGCAAAGCAGTGATGACGGCATCCTTGGAAGCCTGCTCCTGCTCAAGGTCGGCGATCTGCTTCTTGAGGCTCTCGGTCTCACCAGTGGCAGCAGCCTCGGTCTCTGTGCGCTCCGACTCGAGAGTACGGATCTTGTCTTGGAGAGACTCGATGGCCGACTGCAGAGAAGCCTTGCCACTGTCGTACTCGACGCTCTGCCTCTTGAGAGAGTTGGAGCTGTCCTCAACAAGGCGAGCCTTCTCGGCAGCATCCTTCTCAAGCTCAGCGATCTTCTCTTGGAGTTGAGCAGTGATAGACTGCATAGCCTCCTTCTCAGACTCGATGGCGCCGCGCTTCTCTTGCAGCTCCACAAGCTGGGCTTGAAGAGTTTCTTGCTCACGCTCGAGTCTGCCCGTCATCTCCTGCTCAATCTCTGCAACCTTGGCTTGGTGAGCAGCAGCTTCCTCGGCAGCCTTGAGACCGTTAAGCTCAAGCTCCTCGATGCGCTTTCTGAGGCGCTCCTCGGACTCAGAGGAGGCATTGGCGTTTTCGTTCTTCAGCTCCTCGTAAGCGGCGCGCTGGGCCTCCATTCGGCGGTTGGCATCGGCAGTCTCCTCCTCCAGCTCCTGGAGCTTGTCGTGGAAAGCCTTGCTCTCAGCCTTGGCGTGCTCCAAGTCCTCGATGGCCTTCTGGCGAACCTCGTCCATGGTGTTGTCCAGCTCGACGGTGCGCATTTTAGATTGCTCATACTCCTTCTGCAGCTCTTCGAACTGCTGAGCCTTCTCGGCCATGCTGTCCTGGGCAGCCTTGACGGTCTCCTGGAAAGCATCGAGCTGGGTAGTGAGGCTCTCATTATCCTCCCGGGCCTTGACAAGAGCCGCCTGAGCCTCATTGTAGTCATCGAGGAGCTTTTGGGCACGCTCGCCGGCCTCACGCTCGATGGTGGCGATCTTCTCTTGGTAGCTAGCGACCTCAGTCTTCTCCTTCGCAAGATCTTCCGAAAGCCTCATAGCCTCGGCTTCAGCGGCAGCAACCTTTTCGGCAGCTTCCTTCTTGACTTGCTCAATGATCTCATCAAGTTCAGACTGAGACTTGAGAGCGCCACGCTCCTCACCAAGCTTCTCGAGATCCTCGTGCAGCTTAAGCTTCTCAGCCTCGGCGGCGGCAAGGCTTTCAGCAGCCTCCTTCTTCACTTGCTCGAGAAGCTCGTCGATTTCTGCCTGAGACTTGAGGGTCCCGCGCTCCTCCTCGTGCTTCTTGATGTCATCCTGGTGTTTTTGGATTTCCTCCTGGAGCCTCTTGGCTTCGGCTTCGACGGCAGCAACTTTCTCGTCGGCGTCCTTCTTGGCCTGCTCGAGGAGTTCGTCGAGTTCAGATTGAGACTTGAGGGAACCACGCTCTTCCTCGTGCTTCTTGAGGTTTTCTTCAAGCATGCTGAGCTTCTCGGAATGGTTCTTCTCAGCGGTGACGAGCTTCTCCTCAATGGCAACGATGGCAGCAGCAGCAGTCTCCTGCTCGCCCCTCAGTGTGGCGGCGTGCTTTTCGGTCGCCTCAGTGGCCTCGATCTTAAGGTCGGAAATCTGCTTCTCCAAGGACTCGATCGTAGTGGTGAGAGCTTCCCGTTCATCGTGCAGCTGCTTCTGGTACTTCTCCATTTCGGATTTGAGAGCAGAAACCTCTTCACCAGAACCGTCCTTAGCAGATGATACCAAGGTCTCGAGCTCGACAATCTTATCAGCGGCGGACTTCCTTTCGGCTTCGAGCAGTTCCTTGAGACTGTTGACCTCTTCGTTGGGGCCATCCTTGGCAGAGGAAAGAAGAGCCTCCAGCTCGATGATCTTGTCGGCGGCAGTCTTCCTCTCAGTGCCCAATTCGTCCTTGAGACGACTGGCTTCTTCGGTGAATTCGGCCTTGGCCGAAGAAAGCTGACTCTCAAGCTCAGTGATCTTGTCAGCAGCAGCCTGCCTCTCCATCTCGAGCTCCTGCTTGAGGCGAGAGACCTCCTCGCCCGAGCCGTCCTTAGCGGACGAGAGTTGGGCCTCGAGTTCTTCGATCTTGTCCGCAGCCGCTTTCCTCTCTGCCTCGAGTTCAGTCTTAACACGGCTCACTTCCTCACTGGTGCTCTCCTTGGAGGTCGCAAGTTCGGACTCGAGTTGGCTGATTTTGTCGGCGGCAGCGTTTCTCTCGGCTGCAAGCTGCTCGCTGAGCGACTTGACTTCGTCGCCAGAGTTATCTTTCGCGGCTGACAGGTCCAACTCGAGTTGAGAGATCTTCTCAGAAGTCGTTTTCTTCTCTGTCTCCAGTTCGCTGGTGAGACGGGCAACCTCGTCGTTGGCGTTGTTCTTTACGGTAGCTAACTCGGACTCAAGTTGGGAGATCTTCTCAGTCGATTCCTTCATCTCTTCCTGAATCTCCTTGAGGCGGTTGACCTGGTCATCGGAGCTACCGCTGGCAGCCTTGAGATCCTGCTCGAGCTGCTCAACGCGCTCATCCGCAAGCTTCTTTTGAGACTCAAGGGCTTCCTGAAGGTTCTTGACATTGAAGAGCTCCTGTTCAAGCTGCTTCAGTTGCTCGGTGGAAGAAGTCCTCAAGGCCTCAAGTGCCTCTTCGAGGTGCTTGGTCTTCTCAATTGCGAGACGTTTCTCTTCTTCAACCGTTTTCTCGCGCTCTTCAAGCTCGAGGGAGGCGCGTTCAAGTTCTTTCTGCAGCTCCTCGAGGGTGTTGCTGAGGTCTTCGTTCTCCTCGTTGACTTTGGAGGTCTCGTCCTTGGAGAGCTCGAGACGCTGCTTGACGTCCTCAAGCTCAACAGCCTTGACCTTGAGTTCCTCGTTCCGGCGGCGGATATCTTCTGTCTGAGTCTCCCAGTTGGAGTTGGCGGATTCAAGAGCAGAGCTGTGGTCTTCTCGCGCGCGTTCCAAATCTTGCAGAGCTTCTGATGCCTTGACATCGGCCGCCTCCTTGTCAGCCTGAAGCTCTTCCATACTAGCCTCGAGCTCTTGAATTCTAGACTCGAGGGCCTTCCGTTGCTCAAACTCCCGGGTGAGATCATGCATGATCTCACCGGCGTCGCGAGAAGCACGGGGCGATCTTACAAGATCATCGGCAGCGGGACCGTCCACTGGTGCCGGCGTCTCGACTTCTCTGACTGGCTCCGCATCGGCGACTGAGGGAGCTGACTCTTCCTCGTCCTCGGCGGCCTTGGGAGCTGGGCTGAAAGTGAAAATGTCAGTCCGGTTCTGGCTGGGTGATTGGTATTTCGAATAACTTACCTCTCGGGATCTTCTGCGGACTGGGGTGCGGCAGCAGCCTTCTTCGTATCGATCGATGCCCTGGTGGCTGACATTCTCGTACTCGGGCGACCAGAAGCTGCCGTGGGGGGTCTGCCGGTCGTTGTTGACGCACGCGGGGTTGTACTGGAGGTGGTGGAAGTTCTGGAAGGAACGGGAGGGCGCTTCGCCGGTGCCGCGGTAGTGCTCGATGTAGGAGCAGTACCTGTGCGGCGCGAAGAGGCAGCGGTGCCTGAGGTTGCAGACGAGCGAGCAGCTGAAGAAGCGGTGCCCGTCGTCGACAACCTCTTCGCCGCTACGCTAGACGGTCTCTTGTCATCGCTCGCAGGGGTCTCGGCGGTGGACCGCCTGGTGCTCGACGTGGTAGATGTGGCAGCGGGTCGCGTGGGAGGCTTGTTGAGGGTGCTGCTGGTCGAAGTGCGCGTGGCCGAGGAAGAGGTCGGCTTCGTGGCAGTCGAAGTGCGCGAAGTCGCAGGCGTCCGCGAGGTCGACGACGAGATGGTCGAGGTGGGTCGACGCGGGGGAGCAGAAGCGCCAGTCTTCGCGGCCGACGCAGCAGTGCCGGCGACAGAGGACGACTTCCGGTGGGAGGGAGCCGCCTCGGGCTTCTCAGTGTCCGCCATTGTGGATGTGGTGGAAGAGCGGTGGAGGAGCGGCTCTCTGCTCTGCTGAGACGGACGAGGTAGTAGTGAGCCCCGCGGCCGCTGGACGTGCGACGCTCGGAATCAATTACAAAAGGCTGCGGAGAAGAAAGAGACGAGAGGTGCAAGGAGAAGGGGAGGCGGCCGCAGAGAAGTTTGGGGGTCGGTGTGGGAACAGCGGCTGCTCTTGTGGGTTGTGCCTTCCACTCTTTCCAAAAAGACGCGCCGAGTGGTGTCGGCGCGGATGCCGGTCAAGCCCCTGACCGCAAGACGATCACAGCGCCCCTGTGAAGGGCGAATGAGGGGCACCTTCTGGAAGCTCGAACACGTCTGAAGACGGCATTGACTTACACCGCTCTCTGCAGCTTCAACAGAGCCATGGTGGAGCACCAATGATGCCATGGATGTCGTACCTCTAGCTCCGCGGCCGCGATCCTGCATGGTTGCGGCCGCTGCACACGAGCATTTGTCGCGGCCAAGCAGTTCCCCAGGCGTTTGAGGCCGCATGCGCAGCCGAACCTCCTGGCATGCTGTCCTTTTTCGATATTCACACGTTGCGCATCCAGACAGGCCGCCGGCGTGAATAATCAGATGCAGCCGCCTCTTGTAAGGATTTTCGCAGCTGTTTTCCGCGAAGGCGGCGCCACATCCCACAAGCTTTTGCTCCAGCGCGAACGGCTCACCCACCACAGCCCCTGTTCTGAGACGCTTCTCACTGCATATACAGCACGCAGCAGCCCGGCATGCCTCATCGAACCTTGCTCAACTGCGGACACTGGCCAGCAGCCTGTGTGAAGCCGCGACAGGCTGCCTGCTGGCTTGTCCAACGGGAAGATTCAGACGTTTCCACGGCGGCTGCTCAGCATGCTGGCCTCGAGAGGCTGCGCTCTGACCCCAAACCCACCCTATCGATTCACATCATGTGCCTGCCATCCATGAAGCTATCCAACGCCTCTCGTCCTCTTTTTGCACGCAGCGCGATGATCGGCGAGCTAACCGCGACGCCGCGTCACGACCGTTGCCGCGAGCGGTTGAGTTGAATGCCTGACGAGAAGAGGTGAGCGGAGGGCGCGTTCTCTGGCGTCGATAAGGCGAGACCCAATCGCCGGGGGGCGCTGATCGCACACCGCAATGGGGCCTCCGGCAGGCATCGGAACACGGCGCGAGCGCAGCAACACCAGACCACCGGTGCAGTGAGTAAGCAGTATGCAGCAAAGACAGGCTCGCGGCTGTTTGATGGACGACGCCTCGTACATACAACAACAGCAGAGCGGCAGGCGTTGCGTGCGCTGTCCTTTTCAATCTCGTTGAGATGCGGGACCCGCCGGTGTTCGCGCAGGTTAGGCGGGCTGTGGAGACCGCTCTTGCGGGGGCATGGCACGGCTGCAAGGTCCCCTCGACTCCCGCCGCCGCCGCACTTGCTGCTGCCGCAGCGCGACAAGGGCCGTACAATTCTTTATTATTCCTGGGCATGCAACCCAGGAAACAAGAAGAAAAAATGGAGTCTCCGTCCATGCACATCCCAGACCTATCCCCGCGGGTATCGGACTACTTCCTCTTCCACCGCGCCGACAACCGAAATGACCAGTGAATCGTCCAAATCGCCCTTTCACATGCTTTCTGCGCCCTCGCGGTTCCGCCTCGTCGATGCCTCTATCTACAGGAGTCACTTCAAAGTCTCGCGACCAGTGGCACCACGTCCCACTTTCGTGCCAAGCGCCGGCAACTCAATGTTCGGGCACGCATTCCCACCTCGATCAGCAAATGAGGCGCTGAAGGAACGAACAAGTGGGGGAAACAAGCGTAAGCCCAAGCGCACGTACGCTCTCCCGCCCAGCGCGTCGCTCGTAACCTTCAAAAAGGCAGGGAAAGACAGTCGGCCTCGGCTTCACGTCCGCGCTGCGCTTCGACTGCCGGGCTAGCCCAGCGCAGGGGTTGGAAGTGGGGAAGACGGCGCCTTTTTTTTTTCTTTCTCAGGGCAAGGCCTCATTCCTTCCCGCCTACCCCCGAAAGGCGGTCGCAGAGGCGGCCCCGACGGTGGTGGAGCACCGCGAATCGTCGGTCAGGGAGGTTGGGCGTCGGGCAGCCCGGCCACGTCTTTTCGTGCTGCTTGCCGACGGCGTGTATTCGTGACCACTGCCGGACCAGTCCAACTGCCATCAGCAGTGCCTCCTGTAGGGCTGTTAGCTCCATATGATACATCAGCTCGTCGAAAGCTCCGAGAATATTCTCGAACGCAGCTCCAATCTCTCCGAAAGGCATAGGTACCGCCCGCCATGCCCGGAACCCTTCCATCATCGTGAACGCGGAGAAAGACCCTGGGATTGGCGCATACGAGTAGACCCTGATATCAATATCACTTCGTCCTAGCTATCGTCGCAATCTCGCTCCGGCGGCCACCACCGAGCGAGACCGAACGCGTCATTACTCTGCTGTATAGGTACGGTACGGCCCGGGGGCTGAGAACAGGCCCCTCCAGCCCTTCCAACAACCCACCCACCAACCAACTGCGGCCATCATAGCGCGGGATGGGACTGCAGCCCGGCCTGCAGCCGTCCGCCCTATTTGCCGGGTCTCACTTTTCAATGTCTCCCATTGCCCGTCACTGACAGAAAGAAGGCTAATCTCCACATTGACCCGTCGCTTAATGCTGACACCCTCCCTGTCAAGTCAGCCCTTCGTCTTCATGCGTGAAGGCAAATGAATTGCCCGTCCATCCGATTCATCCATTCCAGCCCTCGACTCATCGATCAATGCCTTGGAAAAGTTGGCACAGCTTAGTGATGTTGTTCGCGTCATCGTGAAGACCAACGATGCCGCGGACAACAAAGGAGCCATCGCGGCTCTTCCCTCTTATTGTACTATCCGCCTTGTACATAAGCGCGCGTCAAAGAGGATAATAGGATCGGTTATTGGAAAAGAAAGCAAAGAAGAACAACGACTCAGTTCGCCTGCAAGTGCGCGGCGCATGCCATCACGTAGCCAAAGCCAACCACAAAATTTAGCGCAAAGGTACCGACATCTCGGAAATACGTGCATCTGACCGCGCGCAACAAAACACCTCCAACCAATAGGCAGACTGTGTCTTGACCAGGGGCTTAGGATGTCGAGTCCTCACATTTCGAACTCAGCCTCAAAGACAAAGTGTGTTCACGATAAGCTTTCCCGCCGCAGTACTATAACCCGTCTAAGTAGAAGCGAGATTGCCTAGTTTGTTCCCGTTTTGTTTTATTTTTTTTTTTCGCTCAGTGTTTCGAAGCTACCATGGTACCGTATACCATAGGATGCGTAAGGCTGCTAGTAGAACTTTACTCAAGGAGGGTAAAGCGTCATGCATCTAGTCACGCATCGGCTTACGCCCACGCGCCGAAGGAAGCATAGAACGAGATAAGCTCGGGGTCCGGATTGGAGAAGGGAGAGAGAGAGAGAGAGCGCGCACAGGAGGAGTACGTACCGCTGGCAATAGCTCGTGCATTAGTGTAGCGGCTAAAAAGCCCAAAGCAAATGCCGAAAAGGGTCTCCGCTACATCATTATTATTGTTTCTCTACAAACACAGTCAGCCTCTAAGTCTACGGGCGGGAGGGCTATGTTTACGTACGTTCCGCGCTCAACCGGGAGGCGAGAGCAGAGCACCGGATATAAGAAAACTCGAGTAGTGGTGTGCTACGGATCAGCACGTAACATTTCCTGGCCCATTGAAAGCCCCGAAAGCACATGTAGATCTCGGTTCCAGCGTGAATAAAACCTCTACGCATGGTCCCCGTCACCAGGAAGATCGTAAGGGGAAACACGTGCCAGAAGGAAGCACGAGCGAAGAGAAGACCGTCGTATGAACAGAGCCGAAATGCTCTTCCTCTTCAAGCTGACGCGCTTGCTAATGAAAAGATGTTCGCTTCGGCCGAGACGAGTAGAAAATTGAGATCTCTGTTCTCACACGTGATAGTGCGGCATAGAAGGCAGGAATCAACAGAAAAGCAAACAAAACAAATCAGTAAGACTGGTCTTGAAATTTATGAATCACGAAGTGCCCTGTACCCGTATACCTACGCTTTTCTTTGTATGAAAAGTTTACCTGACCATTTTCCCAGTAAGAAAACCAAGCACCAAAATTCAACAGTCCAAATGACAACTCGCACGCTTGTGTCGAAGTCCAGCAAACCAGTAATAGAGGAGCAGTTCATCCAGAAGTGAGGGGGAAGCCAGAGAAATGGAACGAAGGAAAAGGTTAGAAAGGAAAGAACGCCAACGCATGCCTCGCCATAGCTCCTTGCCACTACTGAGCGCGAGCCAGGATATCTCTTTCGTCAAGAAACAACAATCCAGATCGCATACACGAATGAAAACTGCGCTGCAGCCTCGAGGCGCAAATAGAAGAGAAGACAAAGCAACAACCTCCAGATGTGGATAAGTGACCGGCATATCATCTGCTTCACTTGCACATCCAGTGTACCGTGATCAGTGCCACCCATCTTTTTCCAATCACCACCAGATAAAAAACTTCATTTGAGTGCCAGCCAGCAGGGTTCCCACTTCTTGGGCCCATGTTTCGCCGTTTTGAACCGTAGTCGGAGCCGAACTTATCCAGCAGCGGAAGCAAAAGACCTTCATCGTAGTAGAAAAGAGCAAAAAAAAAAAAAAAAGCAGAGCAAAAGCCTAAATGAATCATAATCGCTGACTCCCAGCCCTCCGCTCTCATCACTAAGGCCCGCGGTATGGAACTGGAATAGCACTTATGCGGCGCCCTCAGCTGCCGCCGGATTGAAGAGGGCTATGGAAGAGAAGATTCGCTCAGATGCCAAAGAGGCTTTCGCGGAAGGTCGTTGTTGGTGGGTATCCGTATACGCTGTCGCAATGACGCGAATGCTGCACAACTAGACGCGGAAAGGTCGAATCGCTCCATAAACTTCGTCGATGTCTTCATAGTGCGGTATCGTGCTCGCAATTCTGCTCAATATGCATCACGCTCTAGTAAACAAAATGATTAGATGAGCTCCACCTCAGGGTTGGCTCAGGGTAAGCTAAGCGCCGCCCTTCTTGCGGCGCTCTTCGGCGCGGGCCTGTCTAGCGGCCTTAACCAGAGGCGCAAGTGTGGCGAGGGGCTCAGCCGTCTGAATGAACGGGTGCTTTGCGACAGTTAGCAATGGCCACAAGTGTCAGATCATCTCCAATGCTTACAGTGAGCAGATCGTGCGCGCTCGCACGCTTATCAGGTTCAACCTTCAGGGCGAACGCAAGGAAATCCTTGAACACAGGCGTGAGGTTGTGCTCCTCCTTAATGGCAGGGGTGCCGTTGGTCGCAATGAGCCAAAGAGCGCGAAGGGGAGACTCGTTCAGGTACGGCGGTTCTCCCTCAATCATCTCGATGGCCATGATGCCTAGAGACCAAATGTCGACCTTGCGGCCGTATTCCTTCCTCGTGACGACCTCCGGAGCCATCCAGTACGGCGTGCCGACCATGGTTGTCCTCTTCCGCTCGGACTCGTTGATCTGCGCACAGAAACCGAAGTCCGTGAGCTTGATGTTCCCCTCCATGGAAAGTAGAATGTTATCGGACTTGATATCGCGGTGGATGACGCCCTTCGAGTGCAGGTGTTGGAGACCGCAAAGAACCTGTCAATGTTAGCTCACTCCCACGCAAAATGAAAGGAAAGGATCGAATTGGCTGGAGAAGTCCTTACCTCGCGGGAAACAGCAGCAATTTGGCCTTCACTCATGATGTTGAAAGTTACCACATCCGTCAACGAACCTCCTTCCATGTACTCCATCACCACCCAAAGATCGCCCTTGACCAGGAAGGAATCCATAAAGTTGACAATGTTGCGGTGTTTGGATTCGCGCATGACCAGGATCTCGTTGATAATCAGATCCTTCTTTGGTTGTTGATCCAGGTTCATTTGCTTAATGGCAACACAGCGATTGCTGCCGACCTGATACGCCGTGAAAACACCACCCGAGGCACCTTGACCGATCTTGTTAAGATTTCTGTACATCGTGGTGGGATCTTGAGGGTTGCAGATTGCGTTCAGCCTCTGGATGATATCGCTGGGCTGAGCGCTTGCCCGTTGCCGCCGTTGACCAGGGCGACCACCTGGCGGGGCGGGGCCCATGCGTGGTGCTTGAGTGGAGTGGGGAACATTGTTCGGATCGGTCGCTTGAGCAAACTGCTGCTGGGGATTCGGCGGTTGGTAAGGGGGGTTCTGCTGGTAGTGGCGCTGGCTTCGGGTCCGCTCAATCTGCGCCTGTTGACGAGCAATCGATTGCTGAGCCTGGAGCATTGCCTGCTCTTGCTGAGCTTGGTATTGCTGAGTCGAGCCTTGCGTCGGGGGCGGACCGTAGTTCGTGGGGGGTGCATCCGTGGTCGTATTCGAGCGACTGCGTTGACCGTTTGGCTTAGCGTGAGCATTCTCATTGGCAATTGGAGAAGCATACGTGATAGGCGAGTGATCTTCTGGCACGCGCTCCATGCCAGCAGCAGGCGCGGGCGGCGCGGGGCGAAGCGGCATAACCTTGGGCTGCTGTTGCTGGGCCTGCGGCGGCCTGGGGGCCGGACGATGCGGAAGCATCTCGCCGTTGACTTGGGGCGACTGAGCTTGCATCGAGGCGTGACCTGGTCGAGGGATCGGTGGCGGCGCGCGAGGGTTCTCGAAAGAGTCTTCGGCATTGCGGGGGAAGCGAGGGCTAACGGGAGGGCTCATCAACGGCGTCATGCCGCCTACTTGCTGCGACACGATGTTGCTGCTCGGTTGGGCATGGCCCAGCTTGTCCCAGATGTGTTCCTCGGCGCGGCCGCCCTGGTTCTCCTGGAAAAAGTTGACGACCTCGACGAGAGCCTCAGGGTGCTGCGTCTGGTCTTGCTCGGTGATGCCGTTCGCTTTGAGGATGTTCTGCCATTCTCGCGGCAATCCCTGCGACAGACGTGTCAGTCAGCTCGGCTGCAAGAGCTACCGGGGGAGGTGGTGTGGGCGCGCGCTTCTGCTTGGGAGGGCTGCGCTGTTTATGCATTGCAGGCGACTTACCGTGAACTCGCCAGTGTCGTTATCGATCGACACATGGGTGACGTGGAGCGGGTTGGTTGGGGTACTGATGGTCGGACGGCGCGGCGACCCCACGAGGCCGCTCACAAAGTTGGTGAAGCCAGTCTTTGTCTTCTTGAGGGTGTCGGGCCGGGTGAGCTTGGAGGGCCTCACCTCGCCCGAGAAGCGCTTGTGGTGGTTGTCGTCGGACTTTGCGGGGTTGAGGGTCTCCATCTTGCGACCCAGCGCTGCGAAACTGGCCGACTGTCTGAGGCGTGGGGTGAAGAGGTGGGCATCCGCCGTCTGCGAGTGCTGCGGGGGCGGCGGGCGCGCGGGCGAGTTGGAAGCCCTGTTCTTGCTTGTGCTGATGGCGTTTATGTTCTGGTACAGGCCCTGGGCGTCGAACGGCGACCCAATGAGCTCGGAGGAGCTCTTCTCGGTGACGGAGCGGCGGGCCTGGCGCTGCTGGTGAGCGTATGCGGAGTCGTCGACGGCGCTCTGCTGGCGCTCGAGCGAGGAGCTGGACGAGGACGGGAACTCGCCCGTGGGGCTGCGCTGGTGGCCGTGACCGAGTGAGTGGAAGTGCGGGTAGGTCGGGGCGGAGGGAGCGCGGCGTAGCGAGCGATGGGCGTTGTAGGCGACTGGTGGCGGGGCTTTCTTGGTTAGGCGGCGGTGCTCGCGATGGTGGTGCTGCGTGCTTGACGGAAGGTGCTCCATGGCGGAGGCTGGCGCGGGAGCCGGTCGTCCTTTCTTTGAACGGGCAGTGCAAGCGGGCAGGCGGCAGGCAGGCAGGCAGCTCGCGAGGCCGTTTGCCAGGCCGGGGGTTGCGCTGACGGATCCGAACCGCTGGGGACGTTACGCTTGACCTGCAGGGCCAGCGGTGCGGGCAATATACAGGACAAGCACGAAACGCAGCAGAGGAGCACCCGAGTCTTTGGCGATAGTCGCTCACCTCTCGCCCGAAGATGGAGACGTCCGCAAGTCGCAGCGCACCAGCCCACGGCCTGCCACCGCGCACGCACGGAGCCCTAAAACGCGTCAAGGATCCGGTTCTGTCAAGCACTCGGCTCAGCTCAGGGCAGCCCATGCCGTCGGGCACTCAGTCTATTTACGGGACGAGCGGCCTTGCGGGACGCACAACGCGGGCGCGCAGCAACAGCGCCAGCGCCAGCGCCCGCGGGCAGCCATGTGCGGTTCACTGCTGCACTGCTGCGCCCCCTGCTCGGCCGCCCCAGCTGCTGCAGAGAGCCAGTGCCAGTGTGCAACAACAAGGCAGCGGGCGACAGCGGCCAGCTGCTCTCCACCGCCCGCGCCGCGCCCGCCCTTACAGCCGCGCCCGCACAAACCCTCAAACCCTGGGCGGGTCTTCTCCAGCAGGCGTTTCAGGCCGCACCCTTAATCTCGAAACCGCGGTAAGGATGTTCCGCCATCCTGAGAGTGTGATGGTGCCGGCTGCATGAGCGTTGCAACTTGCGCCCCGGCCTGGCGCGCGCGAGTAATGGCGCCGGGCAGAAAGGAGAGAAGAGCGGCGGCTCACAGCCGCCGACGCTGCCCTTCGCACGCGGCCCCCGCCGCCTAGCGCTCTCCAGATAGAGCCCCGGCATGTGCACCGCGAGCCACCACCGCGTCCCCGTCGCCGGCGCGTCTGTCTGGGGCGTGCAATAAAGTTGCTGGTGTGTGCGGCGGAAGACAGATTGCTCACCACGTGTGCTGCGAGAGAGGATCCTGGGATCACCGCCGAGCGCGGCACCAACATGGTGTGCTCGGCCGCCGCGGCGCGATCGGATCGACACCTTCTGCCAGCCCTCGTCCATGGGCCTCGTCGACCGCAACAGAGGCCTGATCGCCAGCTCTTGCACATCCGCCCTCCGCACACGAACGCATTTATTTCCGGCCGCGAGGCCCGCAAACTTTCGTTCGGAAGCCCTCCGGTGCCTCGCGGCATCCTGAGCAATCTGCAGCCCCGTCTGGATGCGGCAGCATCACACAAGAAATTTGACGGAAACCGCATCCCTGCCGCCTCGATCTCGACCGGCCGGCCCCATGAGAGCCCACCGGCAATACCCACCACCACGGGCATCGGGCCACACGCAAACCTCGTGTCGTCGTCTTCTGGAAAGTGGCCAGACACCGGCGGAGCCCTGCGCGCCGTTCCCAAGCGAAATGAGCCTCCACGTTTGCCCAGAGCGGCCAGGATCAGCCACCGCGCGATAGAGCGCCATGGGCGGGCCGGCGGGTCCACGGCCTCAGAGGCTAAGTACTGCGTGCTGGACGTCGAACGTCAAGCCTCTTGACTGTGTCTCGACTCGGCTCCAGACCGTCAACACCAGCCTTGGCCCAACAACACCATCCGACTTTCCCAGCCTGTTGTCTCAGACACCCCTCCCAGCTCAGAGTCCCTGGACGTGTTCGCAAGCCACCAACCCCGGCCAGGGTTGGGTATTCCTTGCCTCCAACGCACGTCATAACGCCTGATGCACAGCATGGTGTTTTCCACCGCCAGCCTCTGCATGAAGATCCGCCTACCAAACCGGCAGAGAAGAAAAGCCACCGTTGCCGAGCGTTCCTAATCATTGTTATTGACGGCCCGGTCCGGAGTATACAAACTACATACGCCATTATTACCGCTGAGAAGCAACCGCCGTTGCAGGCACGATGCCGATTGCGGCCCAAGACGCCTACCAAACTGTGGAACGGAGGGACGTCCGGCAGCGGCATCTAAGATCAGTTGACCCGCCGCCCCTCACTCTGGGCATCCCTTGATTCAAAAGCAGTTGCACCTACCCGCCAAGATCGGCTTCTCGCTTTCAGCTCCCGGGCGGAGTTTGAAATGCAATTCGGCACGTGGTCCATGGAATTTCGTTGTTCCATGTTTTCGAGGTTTCCTTTTGTTTCCGGAGTCTTTTCTACACTGGGCCATGCCTGCCCGAGCTTACGGCTTTATGTGACACATGACATTTCATTGACCGGCTCAATTTCCAATGGCCGTTGCAAGTGCTCAGCCGCATTGATGATCCAGCAATGTTGGCCGCATAGATTGCATATCATTCCTGCACACTTCAGGTAATGTCAGACCATGGCGCGTGGTTTTAGCAATGCTTTTTACTTCGTGCCAGGTCTCGGAAGTGGATACGCAGCGCTTGCTAGCCCAATCCCCCTCCTCCTGAAACGGCGTATGCAGGAACAAGCAAGCCACGTTCTGCGAGCATTTGCGATGTCAGCTTTTAGTACACTGGAGTACAAGAAGCCCGGCAGAAAGCAGCGGCTCATGCATCTTGTGCGTGCACCCTTCTCCAAGGTACACACTGGTTGTTGCTGCTCGATGCCACACGCCTCAGTATTAAGTGCCTTTCATATGATAATGCTGCTGCGCGTCTCAGCACTTCAGGACTTACAAGCCCCGCTATTGTAGGCCTCTCGTTATCGCCTTCCTCGCCCGGCAGCGAGGGAGAAGCACGTACATGGCACAAATGAGCCATGATCGACATTCGCTTATCGACCCCGGGTCTACGGTCGTCTGTCCTCTTCCTGATTCCGGGCCAGATGCTTCCACACGTTACCCATCTCCCTTTGTCGCTCGGCACATGCCTTGCTCCTTTCCCCGTTGGGGCAAAGAGAAGACCAAGCCACGCGAGCTGCACCCGTCATTCGCCAGACACACGCACGCGCCATTCCATCTACGCGGCATCGGGCCAGGGCATGGGGAAGATAAGATGCGCCGCGTAACGGGAGCTGCTTTCGCTGCTAACCAGATCTGTCATGCCAGAGAGGTGCGGAGGTGGGAAGCATGAGCAAGCGCGTTGACCACGCCGTAGGTGCTGGGCATGACGTTGTGGCACGTTTTGCGCGGTTCCTTTCCCACATCCCTCCTAATGTTCTAGTCTTGTCCCGGATAGCGGCATCTTTCATCATGCAGCCTTCGTCACATCCTCCTACTTATCCTTTTTTTTTCGCTTGACACCTATTTTAACTTTTTCAGTGCCTATTTGAATGCCCGTGAAAGGGGTCACGAACCGGTGTTCGAGCCAGTGCGTACCTGCAGCTACTCCCTTTGGTTCCCCAGGAACTGGGGAGATCACCCTGACTCACCACTTCCGATGGTGGTGGCTGAGTCGTTTCCTGCGGCTACTGGGTTGCTGCGCTTTTTCGACAGCGGAGGAGCAGGTGCAGCCGCCGGACTCGGATGCGGGGACACGATACACGAAACCGCAAAAGAACTCAAACAAAGAGATTGTGGGGGGAAAGGTCTAGAGACCTGCAGTCAAATGTGAACAAGCACATGTGACACAAGACGTTGATTTTGGGTTTTTCTGTTCACGTTCCCCAGTGGCATATTTTTGGAAAGCAGTGTCTGGTTGTTCTTGCTTCTTACCCTTCTAGCCTGTTTTCTTTTCCATTCTTAGGCGTGCGTTCGTGGCTGGGTAACGTGGATGATTGCACGAGTGGTTCTGATTTAGGGCGGCATTGACAAATATGCCTTGTGCTTCCGTTTTGATTGTTTTCTGTCAGGTGTCAACGTGGGACAACGTCCGCATTCGAACTCGGTTGGCAAACAGAGAAACGACAAATCAGACTGATAGAAGTAACAATACTAGCATCCTCTGCGGCCGTGAACTGCCAAATGAACTATTTTCAGCCCTTATAATTGGCATCAAAAGCAAATACATCTATAGCATGGTAATTAGGTGCGTGGCAATGCGGCTCTCGTGTCACTGAACTTCTGTGGCTGGCTGAAGCTCATCCAGACCGGTGAGTGTGAACCATCTTTGCCCGCTTTACTTGCAGATCGTTGTTTCGAAGTTCTGTCTCTAATACCCTATCTCCCTAAGCGCCATTTTGCATTACCCATGTGATTATCTTTGAATGGTCTGGAACTCATCTCCTTGAATTGTTTCAACGCAATGTATAAATTCAACGGAGATTTGAAAGCTACATGGGCATAGAGTCTTATCCAAAATACCTACTGTATTAAATTATAATCATAGGTTTCGCTTTCTTAATAGCTTTGACTGAAACTTAAAAATTTATGTCTTGATTATTTTTTCCGTCTCTCATGCTGCCATTGGAAAATGATAAAGGCTTCCATTAAACAAGACGTAACTTAACCCTAGAGTAGCCCCACGCCGCTTAAGAAAAATCACTGGGAAAAACCCGCAGATAGTAGACTCTTCCAATGTTTAGGATTTGCTAATACAACGCTTGTCCATATAGTATCCCGTTCACAATCTCTTCTATAAATCTAAGCCGGCGAATTTGCGGTCCAATATCTATCAAATCCCTAGTGGATACAGCCCCGACAACACCCAAGGCTCTTTAATAGGCAAAAATACTAAACTTTATGACACTAGCTTAGTTCAGTTGGTCGTTATCGTGATCAACCAAAATGCTTGCATGATGTCATTGTCAGCGAGCGCCGAGACGCACCATCGTGTGCCGAGAATCCATCATTACCACTTCTGACAGGCATAGAAAATGCACGAGGTTGAGCAAGTGAGATTGATACTAGCAAACGAAATTCCGTTCTTTATCTCAAGGGGGTCTAGCTTGACCTAAGTTTCAGCATAATATGCCAGACTGTCAGCATGTCCGCTCCAAATGCAAGCTTCACGCTTAAAAAATCAAGGAAAGCAGCTCAACACCGGCCAAGCACTTTCGCAATCGTGCTCCTAAGCTTGTCGATGGGGCTGCAGCTCACGGCAGCCTCGGCACAGGGCTCG